ACGGTGGACTATACCCTCACTCAGTATTTATTTTCTCTGCTGTAACTTTAAACGTGAGGGGGAAAGATGCCAGATGTTTTTATCCTGAAATGGAAAAGAGTTTGTTGAGTTACCAGGTTTCCTTCAGACAGCAGTGAGATGGGATATTGATGGGGCTGTTAACAGCTGGCTGCAGTTCAACTGACTGACAGAGCAAACACACACACACCAACACACCAACACACCAACACACACAGAAACCTGGAACTGGTTAACCTCTGTCTCTGTCACTGATTTCTTCCCGCTCTTTCTTTCACTGTATGTTTCAAACTTTCTCTGTTTTCCTTTCTCTCCTTTCACTCCATCACTTTTCTTTCTTTCTTGCTTTACATCTCAATTCCCTTCCCCTTTCCTCCCTTTCCTTTATTTTCTTGCCTGCTTCCATTCTTTTCTTACTCCTTACATCCGCTTCTTTATTTGCCTCCACCTCCTCCTTTTTTTTTTTTTTTATCTTTCTTCCTTCTTTTCATTCTTTTTTCTCCTTATTCTGTAGCATTTCTATTTCTCAGTTTCCATCTTCTAATGGTGGAAAGCCACTAAGTTCAAACACTCAAGTATTGTACTCAAACACATTTGAGGTACTTTAGTTGAGTATTTCCATTTTATACTGCTTTATACTTTTACTCCTTTTACATTTCATATAGGGAAATGTTGTACTTATTAATCCACCGGAGTCATTCATTATGTAAAATGTTAAATTAAAATGAATTATAAGATTATACAATACAATACAATATCAAAGATTAATGTGACTTGTGACCCCTTACAAAAAGCAGTGTGTGGTTTCAGATGATTATGATTTGTAAGAAGTTCCAACCAAGACGGATTTGCTCTCTAAACATCTCAAATGATCTCATTCAATTAACTTCTCAAGGCCTGAAGACGTAAATTATTCATTATTTCACAAAAGAAAAAGCATTAAATATAGAAAAGTCCAAATAATGAAGACACATCTGTGTATCAGGGTTCATGGTATGATTAATGTGGTAGTAAAGAAGACAAAGAAAGCTCTAAAATCTATCATGTGCCCCGTAGTTTGGACTAAACCATCTGACTGCATATAAATTAGTTCTGTATATAGGCTCCACCTCTACCAGCTACACCTGCAAAATGTTGCTAACACATTGATGCATCAGTATTGATAATCTGACGATGTAATATTTGATAATATATCAGTACTACTGCAGAATGAGTCATTTTCATTTTGACACTACATTTAACAAATTATACTTCTGTACTTCTACTAAAGTTTGATTCTGAACGCTGGAGTATTTTTACTTTCATGTAGTGGTACTTTTGTTTAAATTAAGGAACTAAGTACTTCTTCCACCACTGCTCTGCATTTCCTTCCTTTCTTTATTTCATAGCTTCGACTCTTTGCTCCTATTTTCCTTTCTGCTCACTTTAATGCACTATGTTGTTGACCTTTTCCTTTCTTTCTTTCTTTCTTTCTTACTTTCTTATTAATATTATGAGAACAACCTACCTTTAAGTTTCAATTTCTGCCACTAAACAAAACACATATCACTTATGGCTTCAGAGTAGCTGATGAATCAGTGAGTGAGATGACAGTGTTGACAGGAAGTCACACATGCTCTACCTCTCTCTACCTCTCTTTCTCTCCATCTGTCACATGCACATGCAACAGTCTGAAAACGATCTGGTATCAGCTTGACCATGTACAGTTTGTGTGTGTTCACATATGCTTCAATTATGCATTATCATCAAGTCTGTTGGTTATATCTAACATATTTGTTTCTACTTTCTACATATATTTACGATTAATAGCAGAGAAAAAACGCTCTTTCTGCTCTTCTCAAGTGATTGTCAAGTTGTCACATATTTTCTTTCTCACATATTTTAAAGGTTCGTGTCCATCAGACACTGACAACAATAGAACAAGTTCAAACAGGAGCGAGAGGAAATTGCAGCCACACTTTCACACACTCTCACATCCCCAGTGTTTCTCAGCCGGGCTGTCTGTCAATCAGCCTGAATGACTTTTTATCCCCCTTTCATGACCACACACATCCTGTCTCTTTCAGTCATTCTGTCTTTCGGTTTTAGGTCTTCCTCACACGCACACACACGCACGCACACATGCACACACACATGCACGCAAGCACGCACATACACACACACACACAAACCTCTCTTGGCAAAGGCGCAGCAGCACAGTCTTTTCTCCAGTGAGGGAATTTTCCCTCACTTTTATCTCTGTTTTTGGTCTCCACCAACTCCTAATGCTCCACTATGTTCACCAGCTAGTTTCTAACTGTGTCTGTGTGTAGTTTAGGTCTTTTTTTGTGCTATTTAATTGTGACAGTTTTGTTTATGTTTTCACTGTAAGCCTTTATTTTCATATGTAGATTCATTTCATTGAATCTCTGATCTTTACATTGTGCCTTATCTTGTTTTATTGATACTGTGACATTTTGAATTGTTTGTTTTTATTGTTATTGTCTTTGTGTAGACTCTGGGAAGGCTGGTGATCCAAATAGAGAATGGGGAATAAAAAATATATGCAGAGAGCACTTGTGTTTTTTAGCTGAAATCAGCTGCCTGCTGCAGCCGGAAAACAAAGTTAACAAGAGCAGTGAGACTGAAGCAAACTGTAAAGCTTTGGGTCATAAAACTAAAACAATGATACTATAAAACTCTCGAGAGCTGAGTGGACTGAACGACGAATATCTGTGGGTTTGTCACTGCAAGTGACCTCTTGCACATAGAAGTAGTCATGTGATCTATTGTTAATATAAAAATGCTCATTATAGTGACTTTAAATGATGGTTTAAAAAAGTACAGTGCTTTGTCTGACCTCTGCACCAGCAAGGGCCCACTTTAGAGCAGTGTACCAAGGGTACTCATATACCAAGAGGTACTTCTGCAGTTTGTGTTCAGGAAGAAAATAAAGAGCTTAAAAATGGTGTGAGGATCACTTCTGTATTTCTTGTCACAAAAGCCACTAATGTTCAAGCCATGAGAAGTTAACTGCACAGGACACACCTCAGTTTCCCACAAATCTGGGATGGCTAAAACACCTTAACGCCACATAAAAACTAGTTACCAACACTTCTGTAGCCAGGATTTTAGAAATACTGAGTTAATGAGTTCAAATTCCTCCAGCAGAGCCCCACCAACTTAAGACATTTTTGACTAGCAATAACCAAACTCTGTAAAATTATATTTAAATGAAAATATAGCTAAACAATGTTTTCTCTAAATTTAATGACAAAAAAGAAAAAAATTATAATAAATTTTTGCCCTGAAATTGTTTTTTTTTTAAGAAACTCTAAAAAGTCTATTCAGTGTCACATGAATATCTAATTCATCCTTTAAAACAGCAACATGTTTGATATGTGAATGTGAACTCTACATGACGTCATTAAACCAGCCACATTCCTAGAAACATTCCTGTCCTGCATGACTTCTGTGGCCTCAATGGTAGCTCCACCTTTGGTTAGCAGGCAAGCACGTTACAGTTAAATGACTGAAACATGAAGTTTCTGCTGCTCCATGTCGTAGCAGTAAAAGTGCAAAGGTGACCACACCTACTAAGAAACCAAACCTAATCACTACTGCGTTTTCTCTGCCGTGAAAACAACCCACCAGAGGGATACGATGAAGAGGTACTCAGACCCATTTGACGAGGGCCGACAATAAAAGGTTGGGAACCACTGTTTTGAAGCAATATCGAAGTGCTCGAATCTACCACTGGTGCACTGTTGGGAAATATGTGTCAAAATCAACCAACAGTCAAATCTCTTTGAGAGACAAATATTTTGCATGAGAGGCCTTTGCAGCCACAGAAAGGGAAAGCACCGTCTCCACTTTCAATGGCACTTCACTGTGTCAAGTGTTGAGTAAATGTCACTGAAAAAGGCCAATCACATTGAAAGAACACAGTTCATCTTCCACCAGACCGTTGCGTGTATGTGTGTTTGTATGTGTGTGTGTGTGTGTACATGAGAGGGAAGTCCGCTCCCTTCCAGTGTAAACAAACACACTCTACAGCAGAGGAGGGCAGGAAGACTGCAAAACAGCAGCGTGGCATGAAGCCAACAGTGAGTGCATGTTTAACCGAAGATGAAGATGATGTTGGCAAAAAAATATTTTGGGATGTCAGTGGTTGGTGTGATGTTAAATATTTATGGTTTGACCCAAAACAGACGTAAGTCCTTTGTGAAATAAACTGAAGATGTGTTCCAACAAACGTCGGCAATGACTAACATCAGCGAAATGGGCCAGAACCAGAGGAAACTTCTAATCGATCTTGGAAATCTCTTTTCTGAGAAGGAAAGAAAGCGATGAAAGAACTGTAAAACAAAGCTAAATGTGATGACCTTATTATTGTTAGATAATGAAATGCATTAAGTCACTGTGCAGAGTTTCTACAGGGTTCACCTAGTTAAAGTTTAAAGTTAAGGACTTTTTAAGACTTTTTTAATACCATATAGAAGGCAGTTTAATACCACTTTCAAGACCCTATCTGCCAAAGCTTTAAAGTATGATAGAAAACCATTAGCGATGACAGGCCTAGAATTATTTTGTATCACATTTCCTCCAGCCCCACCCAGCAGTATATCACAATAACTCCTAATGATATAATAAATAAAATTAAATTAACACGACCTGGACCTGGATAAGTAGCATGAAATTGATGGATGTATTAACCATTTAAAAATGATTTAAGTTTGAGTTAAAACTGACACTTGCCCATTATGAGATGATGGGCTTCCTCACTACTGCAGCATAGAAGCAGCAACAGTGTTTGCTACAGGTCTTATGGTGCTAAATGAAACTGCAACTGTAACACTGAGAATGACTAAACTCAAAATCCAGTCAAAACAATCCCACTTTTAGTTTTCACAAAAACATTTAGGAAACGTTTTTCTAACACACTATAATGAAGTTGTACAATAAGCAGATGTAAAGATTTTTGAGTGTTTAATAATGTACAGTAGTTTTCAGCAATCATAACTTCTCCTATGAAGAGTATTTTACATTTTTACAGCTGTGTTTTACTATATTGTGATTCACTTTTGGTTTAATCTCCACTTACAGGTTCCAACAAGTGGAGTTCTAGTATATTAAATAGAAATTAACAGTGCACTAAAACTCAAAGAAAGGGTCATTTTTAATGTCTGTTTGCTGCAGGTGTTATTAACAAATCAACAAAATGTGTAATTTGCCCAAATTTTTTTGCATACAACTGTATGTCGCAGTGAGAGTGTAGCAGTGGACATTTTTACGCAGCACAAATGATGTTCATAAGTTATTTTTTATGACTGCTCTCTGATTTTATTTGAGTAAAATGAACATTTAACAGAAATGGCATATACTGAGTTAATATCCCTAACACATTCAATAGCGTTAACATCTTAAGCAATTATCACCCAGTGCAAAGTGCAGTGTAATTCTGTTGTGAAGGTTGATTTAATTTCTCAAAGGGATTTCGTCTCTAGCTGTATTCTGAATGCTTTCCAATACAGAGCACCCAACTACAGATCCAATGCAGCTATACAGTATATGAGAATAAAGATATTCCGTAATTAAAAAGTAGTAATCCAGAGGAGTGTTTATGTGAAAAATGACACTCTGCCAAAAGCGTCACCCAATTCAAACCGGCCTAGTTTACTCTGACTGACGTGTTTACTTGAAGCCTTTTCATTTTGATTTGCCTCTTCAAAAGAAATACAAGCCTCCATGTTACTGTTCTATAAATTCACACAGACAGAGACCTGATTCTCTCCCACCTCCATCTTCCAGCGGCTGAGCCATTCTTCCCTCTGTCTCCTACTGATGTAGTACGGGTCGCCAGCCTGGAAAGTCACTCTGGGGACTGGCCTCCTCCGCAGCCTCCCAGTCTCACCCTGCACACACACACACAAACACACACGCACACACACACACACATGAAAAGCTTGTTATACACTCACCATGCTCTTAAACCTGCTTGTACTGCTCATTTTTGGAAGTAAAAAAAAAAAAAAACACATCACAGACAGGGTTACGACTGCTTTTCTCACCTCTCTGGGGGAGTCGCAGTTTCTGTCGTCTGGCTCATCTGCAGGAAAAGAGAAGTTACAGGAAATGGCCCATTTGTACAGATTTAACAAGAGAAGTAATGAGGAGGTTAAGTCATGGTTTTCATCACTTGGCCCCAGCATACATATTTATAGTTGAAATGCCCTCAAACACTGCAATCTGGAAGTTATTATAATTTCAGGTAAACTGACAACAAGTGCTCTTGAAGACTTGTGGGTGAATTATTTTTTTTCTAAATTACACAGATCATGACTGTCAGGATTGTAAATTTCATATCTTTACGGCATCTTAATTGATAGCAAGTTAGCTGTTGTGTTCTGGAAATCCTTAAATCAGCTTCTGTAGATAAATTAACCATTTAAATTACTGTATAAATGACCAAAGTCATATTATTTGAAATGATATGACTTGGCATTGAAGCTATACCCTTATTCCTCTCGGTTTGCTCTAGTTTCCGACGCCCGCGCTTCTTGCGAGGGGAGGGGGAGGCCTCCGGCTCCTCAGGCGGGGTTGGGGGGGCATTTGCACAGGGGTCAGAGGTCGCCATCTCCTGGGAAACAGACAGAGCACAGTCTAGGTCTGAGAAAACTGCTGCTTGCCCTCATGTAGACCCATCAAAGCACTCGACAAACATTATAAGCACACACACATGTACAGGCCTTATACACACATAAAGCTCATGCATACACACACAATCAAAGAGCTACTGCAATACATTAGTCTGCCCTTGTTAATACAACACAGAGCAGGTATGTTCAGCAGAGCATGTCTGCATAGGCTCAGTAATACACACCTTCAACTCCCATTAACACACACACACACACACACACACACACACACACACACACACATACACACACACACACACACACACTTATGAGATGAGAAGGGGAGTACTGTTGATGTCATTAACAGTGCTAATGTTTAATGAGCATGTTTGTTAAATGATGCTAACATCCATAACATCAGCCTAAAATTACATACAATGTAAAATAACCTATATGAAAATCAAAAAATCCATTAGCTCAGCAACATGAATGATGCTAAACCAGTGGTTCTCAAACTGGGTGGTGACCCCCCTGAGGGGGGACACTGAACCACTGCAGGGGGGGCGTGGACGACCAGGGGAGGAATATGGAGTGAAACTAAGTTGAATGAATATGATTTATGCAGGGAAAATAAACAAACAAGAGTTTGCTGATGCTAACGTGCTGATCTTTATTTCACCAAAATTCAACATTGATTCTTTTTTATTAGTCGCTTCTCCATCACTGTTAGTGATTGATAAATATGGTGAACCTTTTCCGGCTTCTGAAGGAGGCATGCCAGAAAAAGTTTGAGAAGCACTGTGCTAAACTCTGATCATGTGTCTGCTCTGAAAAGACCAGTGGGTTTTTTATGAGTGTGTGCCGCTAACAGGCTAACAGATTTTATAGACGAGTGGTTAAAAAGTGGAGAGCAGAGGTAAATGTCAAGCTCAAAGGCTACGCTAACACCAGCTAGCGCTAACAAGCCCACAAAGGCTGTAATGAGCAGGTGAGAAGGCCTGTAAAAGGCACAGAAAGCAAAAGGTGACTAAAAGGGCCCCGGGACAGACTGAAGTACACCAGCACACACTTTTAATACTGGATACTCAATCAGAAGACATGAGTTTGATATAGGTGGATTTTTTGTGCTTAAAGGCTTTTAGTACCCAAAACATCCCACCTACACACAAAAATGTAATATTATGCATTCATGTGTTCTGTTTTTTTTTGGTAAAATAATTGCAAACAGCTAATTGCATGTATAAAGTCACTTATTTGAGAGTTGATGCAGACTCAAGCTCTGAAATGCAGCAGGATTTTTATTGGAGCTACAACACTAAATCATCAGAAAAATAACTGGTAACTATTTTGATAACTGAATAATCGTTGCTGTCATTTTTTAAGAAGAAATGTCAAATATTTGCTGTTTCAGCTTCTCAAATGTGAGAAGTGTATGATTTTCTTTGTCATACTGTACATAACAGTAAACTGATTATCTTTGGATTTTGGGCTGCTGGTTGGACAAAACGACAACCTCTGTTTGTGGAAAACATTTTTTACTATTTATTGGCATATTAAGCGTAAAAGGGTTAATCGAGTAACCAAAAAAATAATCGGTAGATTTATATATAATGAAAATAACCATTACAACAGACAATAGAGGTAGATTACAGAGCTAGCAGCAGATAAGACTTTGATAATTCAAAAATGTTTTGTTATACCTAAAATTAAGATAATTACTAATAATCTGTATTTTAAGTGTTTTACCCTGGTAAATATTTCTAAATATTATAATTAAATCATTAGCAGAGAGGCTGTTTATGTGACATGTTGACTTGAAGTTGGAACAAATATTAGGAAACTGCTAAAATGAAAGTGAATAGACTTGACCGGAAAAACAAAATCAATATTTCATAGACTCCATACAATGCAGGAAATGTGAAAGACACAACACATTCAAACTAAACAAACAAAAGCATGAACTAAATTCAACCACTTGAGTCAAGTGGTTGAAATCAGTGTAGAACTTGCTATGTAAAAATCAAGCATGTGCTTAGCAAAATATAAATTCAGGGCGCTTAATTACTGCAATAAATTAGCTTACATGAATTCTAAAACTGCGCACAAAACAATCAAAATCATGGTATGAATTAACCCAGATGAAAGTAATATGTTTCTTTAAACTTAAATTAAAATGAGTGCACTGGCATCTATCAGGTGCACATGAAATACCATTATGTGCTCTTGATGAGAACACATGGCCTTAACATTTATCGCTTTAACCCCAAAATCAAATTAAAGCTGCATTAAGCTTTTTCTTTTAACCATTAGGAGCTAAAAAGATATCAGCTCCTACAGCTAACTTTTAAGCAAACAACTGACTACTTACACATTCAGCAGAAACAGAGGAATCTGGACTTGCAGTCATCTTTTTGGTCACATGTCGAATGTAAATTCAAATCAGCCCTGGTTTGGTCCACAGACTCTTGAGAAAAATATCTGGATGTCTTTTGGTTGCTATCTGTTCGACGCTCTTCAGTCACTTCGCCTCCCCGCCTTTTAGCGCTAAACAGGAAGTGTACAGTCGGGCCTCTGTGAGCCGGTTGTACACTTCCTTGTGTGAAAGCAGGTGCATTGGTTGGGTTTCATTTGGGCTGGTGATTCACACTTTTGATTCAGTGAGACAAAAAAAAAAAATAGCTTAATGCAGCTTTAAAGTTGTACTGAGAGAATTAAAGTTAAGTCTGACCAAACCCTTGCCACTGTGCATCAAAACTGTAACACATTTTTAGGCGCTGACTACCTGAGTAGCTAAATTTAGCTCAATTTAGCATTAACTCATTCAGACACAGAAAGTGCAACTTGCATGTACCCTGGTGGTTTTTGTTGTCTTTTATGGTTTCAAATGACTCCTCACTGACCCACACTTCCTCTAAACTCAACATTCAACCTTGATCTTGAATGACAAGACAGTGTGGAAAGTACCTGACTTTTCTCCACAGCTGACAGACTCTAACCTGAGCTGTGTGCACAGTAAAGCAGGCCAATGAAGGGCGGGTTTCAGGTTTTCAGGTTTGATGGAACTTTGATGATACCCAGGGGGAGGCTGAGCTGAGAACAGGATGTGGCAAACAATAAAACAATAGTGCACCAAAAATAATAAAATAAGCAAACCTAACATAGAAAATACATGTATGGTAGTTGATTTAAAGATGTATAAGTCAAGTGACTTGTTATTTACTCTGCAGCAAACACAACCAAATTGAGAAGTGTGTCCAGACGGGCCAAAATTATTTGTGACTCTTTCCAATACCAATGTGACAGATGAAAGTAGCACATATGGGCAGAAATATGTGCACAGCAGGCACTTTTTAAAACCAGTTATTATTAATAGCTCATGTCACAGTAGCCGTGAATCTTGTCCAGATTGTGTTTTGGACAAAGTGAACATGTCTCAGCTTTAGCTATGTCCTGTTTGCATCAGTGTCAGTCAGAAAAATAACATCCTCTGGACAAACAACAATGTTAAGTAACAATATTTTTCATCTTCAGGCTCAAGGCTTTGCATCTGTTTTTGTCAATTTTACTTTTCTTGCTTCACTTCCAGAGATACCTGCTGTCCTGTGGGGCAGTTGGTTACAGGAGCTATCCCAAGCTGCTAGATCAACTGTGCCTTTAAGCTAGCTAAAAAAGCAATTTCTCAAAAGCAAATAAAGACAAACCTGAGAACCTTACCTAACAATGGTGAAAGATCAACAAACATTGATTCCTGAAGCACAAACCCTAACCCTAACCTACAGATTACGATCTCTATTTATCATTTTTCACCATGTCTTTGTGTAGTCGACAGAGGTGTGATTATCTTCAAAGAGCAAAAGAGGGAAATGGGACAGATGTACCAAATTTACACACTCAACTCAACTCAGCTCAACCACATTTACACTCAGCTGGAGGTTTATTAGAAACACATAGCTAAAACTAATGCTGTCTAATACAACAGTCCTGCCTTCATGACGGTAATAATGTTCAGTTGTTGTGGAGGATGCAGTTTGTTTTGCTGTTTCACTGTATAATCTCAAACTGACAGTTGTTTCTCTTAAAGCTGTGACTAATGATTATTTTCATTATCAGTGAATCTGCTGCTTAATTGTCCATAAAATGTCAGAATGTCAAATAAAAAAGACTGCATTGCATAATTTCTTACAACCCAAGAAAGCACCTTCAAATGTCATGTTTTGTCTGAACCATGGTGCAAAATGTGAAGATATTTAATTTATTAAGTTTAATCATGTACAACAAGGAAAAGCATCAAACTGTTTAGTTAAAATATTACTAAAACAATGCAATTGTTGCAACTAATGAATGCAGCTCTAGTATCTATTATTAAGCCCCCCCCCCCATTTACATCCATTAGAGTATACTGCATTTTAGCATTGCTGGTTAAATCTCCATGAGGGTGTTTATTAATAACATGAAAACATAAATATATAATCTAATATTTTAAAATCATACATATAAATAAAGAATAGGTGGAAATGAAAAATGTTAGACTTACTGTATGTGTATTAGAAATGATGCTGACTGTAATGAATCAACGGTAATAGAAAACATACTGCATGGTTTCTCTTACAAATAGCACTGTCAACTACTTTCTAGCACAGCTGCCTTAAATTAAAACACTAATTAAGTGTCCAATTTGGATCTGGAAGCTGCAATAAATAGTGATTTTACAATCAAAGATTTTGATCTTCACGCTGACACACTCCATTTACAAAAAACGATTCATGACACAGAAGACGCAAGAAACTAAAAAGGACTGTCGGATATTTACAAACACAGGATCATATTTTTTTCACTGACTTTTATAGTAGATTTTTCAGTGAAATTAAATGAATGTAAACACTCAGATTATTGTAATGAGCTAATTATAGTTTACTTTGCCTCCAGTCATCAAACTTCCTCAACAGTTTGCTATTACTACTACAGGTGCTACTACTGCTACATTTACATCACCATGACTAACGTACTAGTACGACTATTATATACTACCACCAACACTACAACTACTACTAGTGCTATTTTGCTACTACCACTACTGCTACTATTAAAACCTCTACTACTACTAGGACTATAAATATTACTAACTTTACTGCTATTGTTATAACTTTCACTATTGCTAGTACTACTTTAACTACTCCTACTACTACTATAATGCTATACATTCTCTACTGCTACTATTATGTTTCTACTGCTGCAACTACTATTATAATTACTACTTTTACCAATACTGCTATTACTTTCACTACCTCTAGTACTACAGCTACTACTACATGGTTTAGAAAAGTGTGATAGAGAACATATAAATGAAGTAATATAGGACCTTGCAGTGTTAGTTGTATTATAAAATCTGTTTAACTTTTCGTCCCACAAAGTTATTTTTTATCCACCAGCCGCAAATTATGAAACTTTCTGTCAAACACTGGGAACACAACCACAATTTTTCCACAATCTCTCTGTGATCTTTGTGGTTTTGGGCACAAAATGGAAACCCCAGAAGAAACCAGACTGAGCTGCATATGTGACGAAAGCAGACCAAAATCTCCGGTTATCAAGACACACTAAGTCTAAGTTAAGACCTTGACAGTAAATAATTATAGTTTAGCGTTGGACTAGATAAAATCTAGTTATTAGTGTGCATGAACAGTTCCATTATTTATACCAGTTGACATCACGGCAGACTGTGGCCGTGGGGGGATTTTCATGTTAAAGTACTGTGTAAATGTTGGGAAATGTGCCAATATACCTCTTTGCTCCTACTGTACTTCAAACTACTCTGAAGTGTTTAAGCAGAAGCCACAAGCACAACACACACACATATAAAAACCTCACCAGCTGCTATGCACATGGTGCCAGTGGCGAAAAAAAAGAGAGAGAAACAAGGGAGAAAAGACAGAGGAAAGAGGAAGAGACTGACACCTATCTTAAGTTTAGTGAAAAAGAAAAACTAAAGAGCAGACGTGAAAGAAAAAAGGAAAGAAAAAATGAAAGCTTGAAATAGTTAAGGACCATGTAGCTAATCTAATCATCCATGAAACCATCATCATTACTGTAATAATTTGTGTGTATTTGTGTGTTCTTGTGTGAGAGGTGAATGAGTGAATGAAGGAGAGAAGTGAAGGAGAAGGAGGAGGAAAAAGTGAGGCAACCTCCCTCTCCGTTCTCTATAGTTTGTGTCACTGACAGCTCCACCCTGAGCTGAGCTTCGCACAATAGCTCTATTCCTGGACACACTCCACTGTGTGTGTGTGCGTGTGTGTGTGTGTGTGTGAGAGGGAGAGAGAGAAAGAGACAAACAGAGAGAGTAATAGCAGTGCACTGTTCACTGACCAAGAAGCTTCTGTTTCAAGTACATGTATGTACAACTACATTTAATAATACTGCTTATTGTATTGATTGTACTACAAGTATCACAGTATGATAGTACTACAACAACTGCTACTGGTGCTACTGATATTTCTATCAGTTCAGTTTTAAATTCTTGGTCAACTTTGGATAAAATCAGCAACTATGACGCTGTGGTTTGTTCACAACTTCAATGACAACTTCATCTCCATGGCAATGGTAGCTAAGGATCATGGGTATTGTACTATTTTTTGTGATAAAGTATATAGTCCTAATGTTATTTTGTTAATAGCTGAATCTTATCAATACACTTCCTACACAATAACAACCACTATTCCTAGCCATACTACTGCTACACCAACAACTAATACTACTACTATAACTACTACTGTTACTACTACTATTACCACTACTTTGCTGATTCTACTAATACTACTTTTTACACTACTGCTAGTACTTCTACTACTTCTGTTACTGTAGCACTATGGTTGATAAAGCTACTAAAACTACTGCCAATAATGAAGTAAAAACATCACTTACAAACACACACACACCTTTTGTCATACACTTATGTTTCATAGTGCAGCCCTGTGTGTGTGCGCGCGCACAACAGGATTTATATTAATCCTGCCTGTCTTGTCAGAGCTCAGACATCAAAGCATGATCAGACCTGCTCTCCTCACATGAATGCACACACACACACACAACACACACACACTGGGGTCGTTGTTTGATCAGCTATATTGACTTGCTGATTCCACCACACAGTTCAGTCAGCACACAAGGACACACACACACACATACGGTGAGCGATGAGAGGGTGAATGAAGAGAGAAATATGGAGGAGAGGAGCTGCCAAAGACCTGACCTGTCAGTCAGAGTGAATAAATATACTGTACAGTGTCATTACAGTAATAATGCAGCAAAGATTACTATTATTGCTGGCCTAAAGGTGACTGGAAGGTTGCCAGTTTAAACCTCAAGTGGAGCTTACAAACGGGAAGTACAGTGAGCAACACAGTCACCTTGTAAAAGTAAAAGTACTCAGCCAGCCCCCAACTAAAAGTAAAAAAAAAAAAAAAAAAACTACAACTGAACTGGAAAAATTTGCAAATTTTACTAAGTTTTCCTTAAAAACGTGCAAACATGCAAAGTAAAAAGGTCGAGCATGAGCAAATGTGTGAGTATAAATTTCCTCTTATACCTATTATGGCCTAAAGTTAACTTTATATACTTTGTCTTGTGATCAGTACTGGTCATTGTTTTAAAAGATTTTGCAATTACCAGTTCAGTAGTGATCAAAAGTTCTGTAGTTGGTAATGAGCAGCTTAAGCCAGATCGGTTGCATTTGGCTGTTATGTCTTTCATTTTGTTCTTTGAATGATAGTTGCGTTTTTATTTTTTGTTCATTTTGATGTCACTGTAAAGGTGTCTGTAAATAATGTACGGTACTTCAAAATACTCATATCAGCTCAATCTGAGTGAGGTTATTTGTTAACTAAGTATCAAACTAACATGACAACAGACCCTTTTACAATTAAAAACAAGACAAGGTCCAAACCTAGTATATGGCTGGACTGTCTAAAGTCAATGTGTGAGGTTCTGTTGTGGAACCTATGACTACCTTCAATGGAAAGTAGCTAAAGCTTGAATAATGTCGCTAGATAACGTAATACGCTAATTAGCATATTCATGATGTCAGTGCGTCATATTTGCATTCTGCCTAGTGTCATTCTGTTACGAGAAAGCAGATTTTTCAAACTGCAGCTCAAATCAGTTCAGTTTTAAATTCTTGGTCAATTTTTGAATAAAATCAGAAACTATGACGCTGCGTTTAGTTCACAACTTCAATGACAAAGTTTTTGATTTTTTTCAATAAAATCTGTAGTTCTAATTTTATGTAGGCTGGGTTTAATTGCTGTGTCTTATCAATACTGCCGTTTATGTCAATGAATATAATCTTGTACGTATGCTATAATTTAGACTCCTTTACTTTCAGCGGATCAAACACCTGCAGTCATCACCCAAGAGGAGGACTGATATGTAGGTCTCCAAATTAAGAGAGGTGTGCACATTTTACACATGTGGCACAGCATCATTAACTTGACTGATTATTTAAATCTCCTGACATGCCAACGAGATCAGTCAGGATCTAACAGTATAATGTTTTTAATAAAGTGCTCTAGATTTACAGTCTATAGAGTTTACAAGCATTCGGCCAAGGTATCGCAGTACTTTGAGCAAAATGAGCAACAAGATTTCTCAGAGACAAAATAAAATCATAAAATTATATGATCATTGCATCTCCAGGGAGAGTCTCATGTTTCCATGAGAAGTAACACTGATGATTTCATTAAAAGAAATTTTTCAATGGGAATACAGAATGGTCAGAAACAAATGGCTCCACCGTCTTTGAAATCCCATTAAACAAACAGAATTTGTTAGGAAAAAAAAAAAGTAAAGACAGTTCATTTGTGCTTTAAGGACACAGTCAAGACAGTTTCGTGAGTCGGAGGAAGATGTATTAATTGTTCCTATCAAACTTCGCTTGTACCAAGTAGTTAGCAGAGAAATATCATAGTAGGAAGTGTGTGTTCAGATATCACAAAACTTGTTTACATTTCCAAAGACTGCGGTTGCTGTTTAATTTATTCATTTCTCCCTCCTCCTGAACTAACAAGATGTGAGAGAGGTGTGGGTGGAGACCAACAGTCATCTAAAGCTCCTTATCGCTCTGTATTCGGTAGAGTTAGGGGTTAGGGTGGATGATCTGATTGAAATTCCTCTCATCATTATATCAGGCCATGGGTTCTGTTTAGATCGGAAACTCATCACATTGCTGATGCAAAAGATTCTTCTGTGACTTTAAGCACAGTGATAACAGCAAGTGTGTGGAAAATGCGGGGGATGCAGCCATGTTGATAAGTGAGAATGATGACAAAGTTGAAAATTATGAGGAAATGAAGCTTAACGTTACATGTTGATGGAGAGAGTATGCATTGACTGTTGAGCCCTGCAATCAGCCAGTGCATATTGTAGGGGGATTCCCGTTTTTAGATACAGTGATGGTAAAAAAAAGAAAAAGAAAAGAAAAAGTGTCTCAATGTAACATGAAAGCAGAGGAAAAGTGTGTCCTCAGATTTCTGTGAAAAAAAAAAAAAACTGAGCTGACTGTGGTTGACAGTCTGTATAAATGTGAATTAAAGTGCTCCAGGAAACAGTGCATGCATGTTTAACAAGTCTTTTCAGGTTGGACAGTGGGATTTTGTATAGGTGAACACATCTATCAATCACTCTGCCATGGTTTAAAGCATCAAAGGCCAATGACAGGCTATAATTACAGTACTCACAGGAAGCAGCTGTTTGCGTTTCCTGCCAGGGCGGCCCACTCTGCGCTTGTTGCGGGGGCTCGCTGGCGTCCCCTCCTCTGGACTGTCCTGGTCTGCTCCATCTTCACTCTGACCAGTTATAGAGAGGCCACATCAAAACACTGAGCCAATCAAATGACTGTATGAAGTTATAATTGATGTCAGCAGTGAGGCCGCATTAAAGCAACAATGATCCAAGGCAATGTGGTTAAGAAACTCTCCGGGGTAGGCACCGGAAAACGGAATAAAATGAATAAAGGGCAGCAGCATAGCGTTGATAGTCTCCAATTACCAGGGTATCTGCAGTTTTTAAAGAGCCAAATTTCACAGTTTTTATGACCTTTTCATTAGAGAAAAGAAGCTAAACTGAAGACCAATTTAAAAACAAACTACTTAAAAAACAAATGTCTCAAAGTCCAACCAAGTTCTGATTGAACAAAGCAGTTCTCTAACTATAAATGGGGCAAAATATGAAAGAGAAAACCAGTAAATTATATGTTTACAGACATGAAATCCAGCTGTGTTTAGTACTTTTAGTACAGGACACATGTTGTACCACCAGACCTGTGAGTGAGTGAGTCTGGATATGTAGAACAAAAAGAAACTAAATCACTTTTAAGACATTAAACTTAGATCATTCATTGGAGGTCTTGAGGTCTTTCAGAAACCTGTCAAAACCTTGATAACATTATGCTTTTCTGCATTTCTTTATTTTGCTACCTCATGTGAAACTTTGAACCTAAATGAATTCATCTCAGCAGTTTAAAACAGCTTCCTCTGCTCAGTTCACAGCAGAGATAAAGTGGTGCAGTACAGAGGGGTTGTAGATTAGCAGTGGTGTAATTTTACAGTGATATATGGAATAAAAATAGCTTGCTGCACCTGTGTTTAACTAGATAGTGTGTGATCAAAATCAATGTTAGGGAGGTACTGCCTGATGAGATTACAATATGAGCTGAGATAACATTTGCCAACATTTTTTTCTGTCTTCACTTTTAATTTGCTATATCATGTCAAACTAAAAAGCCCTTTTTACAGCATCCTTATGTCAGTGTGGTTGGCGGCTCGCTGGTTTACAGGCCTTTTCGCAGACATGTGGAGTTGATCTCAATCAAAAGAGACTTGCAATTTCGACTTCAGCACCAACAGGTCATGACTAACTTGAATTTAAGCCTCATGACTTGGGTGATTTGATATCCTCCCCAGGCCCAAACATTTACAATTATGTAATAAAAAGTGTTCAGCAAATTTCAGTCATTTCCTCAGTGGCAATCTGACAGCAGCCATTCATTTTACGTGTTCTGGGGGGAAAGTTAGGCATTGGGACCACCACACAGACAAGAGATGATACCTCAGTTTACACAATTTTGGATGTAAACACTCAGCTAATTACATATAATTGCAACTGTGTCATAAGAATGAGAAAATAAACACCTTATCCATTTGCTTTTAAATGTTATCAAGTTTTTCTGAATGTAGTGACTCACAGATTGGACTTTTTCTCTGATGACACTGACTCTTACACCCATACTAGTCCTGATACGATTCGTGTCAAATAATGATGAATAATGACAGTGAAAAGACTGAATTTCATGATTACCCATATGAAGAAACTGTTTAAAAGTAATAAATACAAATTTTATGTTAATTGTTAATTTTATAAACTAACTGTTTAACTATTTTCACTGGCTTTATCACAAAAAATGAAATGAAAAAGACTTTTTTAGGACTCAAAACAAAGGGTTTAGGACTTCCTGGTGCCTGTGCGCCTGATGCTGGTGGGTATTTTCTAGCTTCAATGACATAATAATAAATAATTAATGCATGCAAAAAGAGCCACTACACTGTAGAGACAGTGGCTTGAAGGGAGGAGAAGCCTGAGTGGTGTGAATCATGTTAGATATAAGGCACCAAAAGTCCACTCAATCACAATCAGATTAGATGTGAGTCTCTCCCCCACAGTAGTAATCTCTGCATAGATACAATCCCCAGTAATTTGAGGGTCTGACTGAACCCGGGTCAGGTCCGCACTTTCTATTTTTACATCGGCTCTGGGCAAAGTTTAAGTTGCTTAGAGTCTCGGGTCTGTGGAAAAATTTTCATTACAGCCAAGACAACATGCGAAAGAGCCAAATACAATAAGCAACACCTGCTGCTCATGAGTGAAAAGTGTCAAACCTTTAATGTGGTTTCATCATATAAGAGATTAGGCCTGTTACTTTAAGAGTATTTTAGTATTTTAGCCAGGAGGCAGGAATGTGCCAGCTGCAGTAATTTTTATTACAGGCCTTTTTATTCATATTTGAACACTCTTTATGTGCATCACTGCCTAAGGCAGAAATGAAATAAATGTCACTGTTAAAAGGAAGAAACATTAAGACTTTTGTATTGCTGAAGTGAACCAAGCAGCTTTAAAATCAACAGTCAGAAGGAATATGGTTTTTAATTGCCCAACTTGCTAGCTTTAACAGTGGCAAGTGATGTACACAGGAATGCAACCAATGACAGGCATCAGAAAGACGCTCTATCGTTCCCTACGCTGGAGAGCAGCTACCACGGTGGGCAGAAGGTTTTGAGCTGGAAAATGGTTTGCCAAAAAAGAGAAGATAACTTGCTTCAGAAACTTGAGGATGAAAATGAAAGCAGCCAATCATAGTTATTGTGGTCTCTATGTAGCCCGAACACAGGGGTACATTTTTGAGGATGTGCACATCAGCTGCAGTGTGGTTTTGGCAGCTGTGTGTGTGGGCTCTGAAACTATGCTGTAACCCCTTAATGTCAGATCAACTCTTCTTGTTGCCATCATTATTATTGTTGATCAGAGCTACATTCACTATGTGTTTTGCTTCTGGTAAGATACGTACTAGAGTGTCTGTGTGCCCTACTCTCCTGCACTCTTTTGTTGTGTAGGGCTGCACAGGAAAGACTGTTTAACAAGTCACACTGTACTCTCTAACTCTAATAATACCTGCTCTATTTCTCGACTCTCTCTCCTGCTTTAGTCAGTGCTACCTGACTCTGTGTGCTGTCTGCTGTCAGCCTTGTTTCCATTAATGTCTTCCTCCCTCTGTCGCGGTGACAGTGGAGTGGTTACTAAGGTGCAGAAACTGCTTAGCAACTGTCTCCGACGGGGCCGCCGTGCTGACTAAACATTCTGATGTCACTTCCCTGACGATCAGCATAGCAACCAGCTAGAACGGGTAATGGCCCCACGCCTGTCGGCCTGGTGTGCTGTCCATATGCCTATGTCACGACGCACACTTACACACTTACATGCACACATGTTTTAACAAAACAACTGTACTCAATCATGAGCTGAAAATGCAACAAAAGCACACACACACACACACACACACACAAAGAAAATAACACAACTGAAGTCAAATATAACAACAGAGCGAGAAAACCACTCAACCAAATCTTTTCAAGAATATGTCAACACACACAAACACACACAGTAGCCAATCTGTCCATATATCTTTGGTCTATTTCTGTCTCCCGGCAGGTTATTTTAGGCTGCTGCAGTTGCTAAGCAACCAGACTGCAAACCAGGCGGGCAGAGGAGGATCCCATCATCAGCAGACAGCTTGTCCCCTTTCTTTCTTCCCTATCCCCACATCCTCCTCTCTGTTTCTATCCCCTTTTCTTTCTTCTGCTTTCTTTCTGTATTTCACTTTGAATCCACTACTCGTGTAATCATTGCTTAATAAAGCTGTCAACAGAACAAATACAAGACTCTTTTATCTGGATTCAGCCTCTTTTCAGACTTAATACATTCAAACACATGTGTATGACAGCAGATGTCTAATTCTAAGCAATCATATCACTGAAATAATCAATAGTATTTCTTCACCTTCACATAACATATGAGCTAGTTTCCTTTAAAGCATAGTGAGGCCTTAAGGCTTTGAACAGCACTGTCCACATGATCAGGATGTTGTCTTCAAACTGTCTTAGTAGTTTGCAACATATACTGTGTGCAGCATTAATGTTGGCACTTGGCAGCTAAGACATTAGAGAGGAAAGATGACCTAAGTTGTCAGAGATGATTTTTAGCTTTGCTTGGTGCATTAAGGGAAAGGAGCAGTGCTTACAATAGAGTCAATGTTGAAGTTGTTATAAAATGATAGACATGCATGGACTAAAATGAAAGGTCAATTAAGTCCTGAGCTTGTGAAGTAATGTTCATGAATAATTTCAAAGCCTATGGCTGTATATCACCAATTGCAGCAGAAAAAACAAATTTAGGTCACAAATATGAGTTTTGGGCTTGATTTTACAGCTGCAAGCAAATCATTTTATTTAAACATTCTTAATTTAACTCTCCATCTGCACAAATTTAAAAAGGGTGATACTCAACTACAGGCTCTGAAATTATTTCCTCATGAGCTCACACTCACAACAAATGCAGCTGCGGAAATAAAACCAAAACCAAACAGAAGAACAAACATTGATTTCACTTTCATTTTCATTGCATTTTGTTTTTTCATGGGATAAAGAGATTATTTCTAATGAGTGGGTGCCACTTTTTTTTTTACTGTTATTTGAGAAATGTCTCTCTATCTTCAACATTTCAACAGTAGCTTCTGTCATGTGCAATGGATTATAACTGAAATCAGTCAAACCTCCTACACCTCTATTCTCCAACAGTAACTTGCCATGTCTTCCCAAACACCGTGACTCACTCTGATTTCTCTCTGGGCCTTTCTGACTCTTTGAGAAACACAGAGAGAGTTAAGTCTCAGGAAGTTAAAAAGCACAACACACTCTTTAAGGGAAACTTTGTGCACGTTGGCTCATTGCCACTGTGTGAATGTGGAAGTAAGCGAGTAAGACAGCTCTTTATATAGCGGCACTATAGAATGAACTTCAAACTTCTCACAGATTTACGAGGGCTGCCTTGGGCTCTGGGGGCACAAATGAAAGGAGCCATTTTTCACCTCGTGTATGTCTGACTGTGTGGTAATGTGTGTGTTTGTGAGTGTGTGTGCTCATTTGTGTAAAGTAAAAAAGACTGTTTGAGACTCGAAACCTTGCACTCGTCTCACCTGCATGTGGTCGGGTGATTGTGTGGAATGCAGAGGAGCCTGTAGTGAATGTAAATAAATAACTGTAAGTTTAATTATTACAGACACACACAGTCTGACTTGCCAGATCTTCTGTGTGTGTTGGCTAAAAAAAGCTCTCAACTGCATGCTGAGAAGCCAAAGTAGTAGTGATAATGATAGCTGTAGTAATAGTGGTGGTGGTTGTAATAATATCTGCAGCTTCAAAAATAACAGTAGTAGTATTTCAATGTGTATAATAATAGAAGCAGCAATAACAACAGTAATAGTAACAATAGTAGTGACAGTAGAAGTAGTAGTAGTGGTGATGGTAAGAGATGTAGGTGGAAAACTAGGTATGTATATATCTAAATTCTGCATATGAAATACAGTTTTGTAGTACTAGCACTTTATTTAAGTATTTCCATTTTATAAGTATTTTCATTTCTACTTATGAAACTATTTACAGAGGGAAATATTGAATGTTTTAAATGGAAACATTTATCTGATGAATATACTTCCTGCATAATAGCTGTGGCTGCCAAAATAACAGCATTAGTATTTCAATATGTATAATAACTGAAGCAATAACTAAGAGTAGTGATAGTAGCAACAGTAAAAGTAGTTTTAGTGGTGGTGGTAAGAGTTGTTGGTGGAGAATTAGGTGCATTGATTTGGGGAGTATAGGTACTGCACTTAAATTCTGAAGTACGAACACTTGAGTATTTAAGTTTAAATCTGCATTATTTACAGTGAGAAAATATCTGTATGCACGGAATTTGATGACTATACATTCTGCATATAAAACAATTAGCTCTACACTGTAATGACCTCCATAAAACTGATGTAGTAGCATGATTCAAATTACTCAGCAGTATATTAATTAGTTTATACTACCTGCACTTACTATACAACACTTAAATACTGCTTATACATTAATGCATCAGTAATTTAACACTCCAAAATGGACCAGTCATCAAAATAAGTAATTTTACTTTTGATACTTGCTGCTAAGCCTGTTACATTTTTATGGAGTCTGTAGAGTGCCAATTTTTTGTGCCACCTTTTCTGTGTTTAATTATAATCGTTTAATACATAAATACATTCTTAAAAAGCTGTGTAATGGGATTTTTGTAAATAAACAATTAATAATTTATTTCCTTATTTATTATTATTTCAATATAGAACAATGAGATAATCTATTTTGTTTTAGATAGCTTGACTTTTCACAACCTGCACACTTTCATGTCTAGATACACTCAGTACATATATAAATACACCTATCAACTATATTTTAACATTGCTTTATTAATATTGATTATTCTTTTATTTACTTTTCGAAAAAAAAATTATTTGTTTTTCAATTTCTCTTTGATTTCTCCATTTAAAAAATCTGTTCTATGGTTTTAATGTTCTTGTTTCTTGCATTTGTTTTTATGTTATTTTTTCATCTTTGGAATACACTGTATTACATTTTTGTGTACAAAATCATTTAATCATTATTATATACATTCATGCCCCGATATAGAGTCTAGATATTTACTAACAAGTAATTCATCTCCTACTTAAACTTTTATCAATTCAATTTTCTAAACACTTTAATGTTAAGAAACAGCATTGTTTGGGCACACTCCTGACTCCATACATGTATCTTAAATCTTATCTACTACTTTAAAATCTTGATTGCAGGACTTTTGTGTTTAACTTGATATGTTTTTACATTGTGTTACTGCTGGTTTCACTCACTTAGAGAACTTTTTCAACTCCTGGTAATATGTATTATAGTCATGATAATAGCAGTGATGTTTATAGTAGCATTACTGATATGGTGCTATGAGTATAGTCTGGAGTGGAACTAACAGAAATCATTTAGGCTTTTGCAAATAAATGAATAATTACAGTATAAATAAGCAATAATCCCTTTCTCACCACATCATTGGAGGCGTCGTTCTCTGGTGTCTGGGGCGGCTCGGTGGCGGCGGGACTGTTGGACGGCATGGCAAGGAGCGGCTCAGTGAAACCAAGTGTACAAAGTAAAAAATGGAACAAATCAAAACATGGGAAAGGCCCTCAGAAGCACCAGGTGTGGCTTCATTCAAGCTGTCTGTCGGTCGGTCGGTTGGTCAAACGATCACTCGCTCACTCTGTCCTCCCCCTCTCCTGGGAGAAAAAACAAAACACACACACACAAACACACACAAACACACACACACACACACACACACACACACACAGCGTGACATGAGTGGATATACTGTAAGAGGAAATTTGCCAAGTTTAAGTAAGAAATCATTCACAGTATGTGGCTGACATCTTGCTATCCCCTTTTCTCCACTCCTCAGTCTCTCCACCTTTTTCTCAGCCTTTCACACACACACACACACACACACACAAAGCCCCGGGTCATGACTGTACAACAGGTGTGTGTGTCACTGTGTGTCTCTATGAACTACAGTTAATAGACGGGATCCCTGCACATGCAGAGCAGAAAAATATTCCATTTCTGAGCAGTAACGGGTTAACACACACATTTATGCACACACATGACCACACGTATGAACACAAACATGCAGGTGTCCTCAAAGGAATCTGCTTGAATCAGGGTAGTTTTCAACATGGCTGTCACTATGATTGATGTGGCCTGTGTGTGCCCATTTCATTACACAAAATGGCTGCAGGTAAAAATCGTGGTTAAAATCTGATTGTTCTTCCCGCACATGTTTTATAACCATGGTTTAAACAGGGGACCAAAACACTCTGAAGCTGAAAATTTTATTCCAGATTTCAACAACTTTCATTTATCTGATAGTGACACTGTATCTGCTTTATGGGCAAAGCAAACCCCTCATTCAAAACAGCCCAAGGCTGATAATTATTCACATTACTGATTAATCAATTATCGTTTTTGGCATCCCTTTGTGACAGTAAATGTAAAAAGGACACATAGAGAGAGAGAGAGAGAGAGAGAGAGAGAGAGAGTGAATGATATGCAAAAAAGGCCTTGTGTGTGTTTTAAGGCTAACAGGAATCAAGACTATAGATATATTGCTTGTTTTTAAGCAATTGTTAAATTAAGAGACTAAGGTGACATCTTGAAATAGCTTTTTTTATTTGACTAATGCTCCTAAACCTACTAGGATCTGATTTACAATGATATAAAACACGAGAAAACAACAAATCTTCATATTTGAGAAGCTGTAGGAAGCAAATGTTTGGCTTTTTTGAGCAATAAATGTGACACTGTTCACTAGTGGTGTTACTTCGGAAAAATGGGCGGCTGCTTTGAAGGAGCTGTTCAGTGGAGAGTCAGCCATGTGTGACCTTGTAAGTACTTGGACTAATCTTGGCTCTCTTTTGCCTCATCATCCTCATTAACATTATTTTGTCTATGGAAGTTAGTTAATGACAAAAGTACTGAGCAGGAACAAAGGGAATTTAAACTGTAATCGGTCTTCAAGAGGGCGCAGGGACAGATTCAAAAGCTCAGAACAAGTTTTGACTGTAAAACCCTGAATTCATAAACATTTAGTTTGAAATGTGTTTTCATTCACAGTCCTCTCCATTTGTTTTGGCAGATTTTGGGCACTTGAGAATATTAGAGGCCGTTTACCAGCAGTTACTGGCAAACAGACTTCAACAGAATGTGCCCATATCTGTCTATTAGGCCCATATCTACTCATACTTTAAGTCCTTCAGGCACATGAAGGAGCTGACTGATCACACTGGGAAGCCTAACGTTGGTGGAGTCTAACAGCATGTTGTTTCACTTCTTGGTCAAATCCAATACAATTTGCTCTGCTCTAACTTTTCTTCCAAAAAAAAGCAAGCAGATTAAAAGATAGCGAGCAAAGGAAGCAACTCCTCTCAACGACTTAAAACATTGATTACTCATGTTCCTGTCCCTCCTACAGTGTACTCAGTGATCTGACTAATGTTAGATCTGCAACGAAAAATGTCGATTAATCGGTTAATTGATCAAAAGAAAATTCTTTAATATATCTCACTATTTTGATAATCAATAAAGCAAAAGTGTCAAACATTTGGTTGTTTTAGCTTTTCAAATGTGAGGATTTGCTGCTTTTCTTCATCATATATGATGAAATATTTTTGAGTTTTGGATTGATGAACATACAAATCAAGCAATTTGAAAATGTCACTTTGGGCTATGGGAAGTTTTCATCTGCATTATTCACTTCTTTTTGACATCTCATAAAATAATAATCAACAGATTCATTAATCATTAGTTGCAGTGGACAGAGATTCTCGATCAGGTCACAGAATCAGGTATATTCTGTATACAATACACCTGCTCTATGCATATTCTTTTCCTGATATGTTTTCAGATTCTGATGTAGTTATTGATTACAACTCAAACTGATTTTGTGCTCACTAAATTTGACATTAAACCTGCAATAACTTATTGTTTGGCCACTTGGGGGCATAAATAAACTGTGAACACAAAATTGACAAATCATCACCTTTTAAGTTGATATGGTGAATACAGTTGCTTATTCACACATCCAGAATTAATTTGTTGTTCATTCACTTGGACTTGTTTTTTATCCACCTGATGAATTTCAGACCAGTAGTCACTGTTTTTGCTCTGTTTTTGGTCTCCACTGTGCTCTCCACCAGCTCCTGAGGGAAATCTCTGGCTCTTTAGTTGCTAAATGCTCCACTATGTTCCCCAGCTAGTTTCTAATTGTGTCTGTCTGCTGTTTGGTGCTGAGCAGGTAGTGTACAGCAGGTTTTTAGAGCCTTTTCTCTGAAAACAGCTGCCTGCTGCTGCAAAAAATGACACAATGGGAGCGGTGAGGGTAACGTTGTGGCTAAAAACTGAGCTGAAAGTCACTATAAAACTCAGTGATGACAAGCAGAGCACCAAACTTGGGCGATAATTCTGACTTTCTCACTAGGTCCTCACTGTGAGGGACCCCTTTCACAGTCACATTGTTTTCAAAAACAAATTTTCATTTGAAACATTGTTATTGTAAATTATCAGTTATAGTTGCCTTAAAAATAATGGGCTTAAAGGTTAGTGCCACAATTATTCAATATTACAAAGTGTAGTTATTACTAAGGCTTTTTACGAAACACAGTGGGTCAACTAAGGTCAAATACTAACTCATTTTTCAAAGATTGTTTTCTGTCTATTTCTAGAGTGTTATTATCTGGTGATGCAGTATTAACCGGAAGTAGTGTGACTATGCAGGGCCGATTAAGCTACTTGGAGGCCCTGGGGCAAAAGTTAGTGGGGGGGGTTCTAGACACCAGTTCCTCCCACTCTCTTTGCATTGTGTAAGTATCTTGTTACCGCTAAGTACCCATTAGCACAGAACACACTGCAGACTACACATGGCAGCTTCGTTATACTTTACAGAGAGAACAAGAAACCAACCAGTATGCCTATTATGGAGCACTGTCCTGCCACACATTTGCTATGTGTCAGTTTTTCATTTAGGGATATGCACCATGTTAGCATATTATCAGCACCACCACAACATGCAACCTGCCGTTAGGTCCTTAGGGCTTTAGTTTGTATCGTCCTTCACTTTCCCAAACTAATCTACAACCAATCAAATTACCCACAAACTAATTGCCATATAGTGGTTCTTAGTTTAATACACCTCATGCACAGATTCAGATCTGCAGTGAAACTGTTGATCTGATCTTTGTTTGTGATGTCTTATAATAACATTTTAATGGATTTTCCTGATATTTCAGCCATTTTTTCCCCATTGAATGTTTTTAAGAGATTTTTTTGAGTTGTGATTTTAGATACATAAATAGAACCGACTTATTTTCTATGGATAGAACTAAGCTGCACGAGCATACACATTGTACAAAACATGATGGCGTTTGTCAAAATAGCCTCCAGTTCACTTATTTACTTCTGCATGAGCCTTCCTTGTATTAAGTTTTTGTTCCTGTATTTTTGCAAGTTAGTTAGGAGTGATTTGTTCATACTGGTGTGATACTGATCACAATCTGAGAACAAAAAGAGCTTCGATGTAACATTTGCAAGTACCTAAAAGAAAACTGGATCTCAGCAGTGATCTGGATCTAAGAACAGTTTGACTGCAGCCAATGTGTCTGGCTTTGCTCAAGATGTATTGTACAGTATGTCACTCCTCACGCTGTGGCCTTGCATCACCTACTGTAAAGACAACAGGCAGCCGGCCAGTGTTACCAACGGAAAAGAGAGGGGTGGAAACTTTGCAGAAATGGGTGTACAGTATCCACCCCACCACCCCCGGGGGCTCCCTGCACGAGCTCCAGGCTCCAGGCTCCAGACTCCTCCAAGTTCTGCGTATTTAGGTCACACACACACACGTCACACTCCTACAGCAAATGTATATACACTGATTTAAATTGTTCCAGTCTTCATGCCAGCAGTGGTTTAAATTAGACCATAGTCAAAGGCCCAAGCAGGAGCCTGTACTGGTGGGAGGAGAAATGGTTGCGCAGAGAAAAAGCTTCAGAGGTGTGTCAAGGTAGTGAGAGTCAGTGACAAGACAAGGAAGTGGGTGATCTCTCTTCACAATAAAAGCATAAAATATATAATTTTCTTTATTGTCTTACTTAATTGATTTAAGTAGCTCTTCACATCTATTTCCTCTCCTGTTAACATGTTTTTTGCTACTGTTACATGTGAATGCTCTCCTCTGGGAATCAGTAGTCTTTTTTTCAGAGCTGGACATTTTTGCTTGAGAGACTTAATTTGGAGTGAATGATGAGGCCTATATTTTAATCATGTCATCTTGACAAATAAACAGGTGTTTTGTAGTTGAGTACAAAGTAACAAATTCATAAAGGCTGGTACATCTTACTTTAACAATTTTCATAAGGTCAATATTCATGGAAATATAAGGCCATAGCTGGATTTTGGAAATGCTAAGGTCACCTGAGGTCATGAGTTCAATACCCCTCAACAATTAAGTCACTAACATGCTTTCAGTAAACAGATTTGTCTTGGTTTAATGACTCAACTACAGTTTCTGAAATGTGTGTGTCCTCAGGCTTGTTTCAAAACCTTCTCCACACTGCCAGGCAAAAAATTCTCTTTGGGAGATGCAGAATACTTCATGTATTGTTGCCTTAAAAGTATTTAAATCTTAATATTCTGAGTCTAAAAGTAATGAGATCAACCTAAAAATAGCAACCATTTGTTAGTTTTAACCAGTACTCTAAAGCTGAAATGATTAATTGATTAAGTGATTAGTTGGGAACATTTTTATAATTAAGTAATTAATTATAATAGTTAATCATTTAAGTCGTTTTAAGCAAAAATGCCAAAAACCCACCGGTACCAACTTCTCAAATGTGAACATTTGACATTATCACCCCAGTTTTGGATGGTTTTTATTGTTTGTCAGGGTTTTTTTTACCCCTCCTTTTTTGGATAATTGTCTCAACTTGGTCTTGTAGAATGATGACAGGCATTTTTCATGTAATTCAATTTTTCATTTTAATGAAAATAATTATTGGTAGCAGCCACTCAGTTTTCCTATGTTGAAATAATACTACGTTCCCAAATTATTACTAGATTTTCAGAGTTCTTCTTCACAACAAGGGCTGCAAGATGGAGGATGAATGACCTGTCATAACTGATTTTGAACTTCAGTGGTGTAACTGGTCAAACTAATTTGCAATAAATCAAATTATGTACAGTCAAATAATGTTGACTAGTACTTTTGGGGCTCCTGTGGTTCTGGGGCCCCTGGACAATTACCCACTTTGTCGGCTTGGTAATCCAGCCTTGCTCTGGGGAACTTTGAATGCTGTTGTTTTTGATTAAATCAATGGCATCATTTGCATTTTTATTAATAATGAAATAATTTGCACCCCAACAACATTTTCAGGCTAAAAGACAAGTTAAATCTTGCATTAACAGCTCATTAATTCAAATTAAGAGATTCTGGAAGACAACCTGGAATATATTTATTGATACATTCAACAATAAATTGCATGAGATCATTTGATAAGAGAAGTGCGCGCGCAAACAAATGTGCGTGTACCTCAGCCTATAACGTTCGTCGATGAGGCTTTTATTTTAAAGAGTAGACCGGAAGTGTCGTAGTTACTCCCGCTAGCTTGACGGAGCCTAGCTTTATGACAATTAATATTGGGAGCGACCTCACGCGGCCTTTGCCGGACGGCCTCACATAAACGGCGTATAATCCCGACGGGGGTGTGTTTGGGGCGGGCAGCCGGTGAGAGACACGTGTCCGAGTGTGTAGCGACGATAAGCTTTACTGGGTCAGGTAAAAAACACACACGGGGGCGCGTTTCAGACCGAATGCACCCGTTAACCCCGGCAGGCGCGTGCCCGCTCGCTCGCTCTCAGCGGAGCCGACGGTTCCGCGCGCTGATGTGTCTGTCTGCATCTGGTGGTTGAAGAGGACGGTGCGCTCCGGTTTAACGTTACCTGCTGGTGCCTGGGGCAGCCTGGGGAGGGGGTGCACGCTCCACCGGACAACGTTTAACACACATTCGTCAAATGACGGCTGTCCGGTTGCCGTGGTTTTCCTCCCACCGTTCAAAAGAAGTCCCCAAGTTCACTCGCCCCGTGTACGAACCGCTCCGTCTTCACGCGCACATCATCTGCTAAAACAGAACCAACGGTTTGGCTCCGGCGCGCGCGAGCGATGACTTTAGGAGATGACTGTAGCTAACTTAACGGCTATAACGGGTACCGGTGTGCGTTCACGAGCCAAAATGTAATGTTTATATTTACCGTGTCGTCCGTCCCTCAGGCACCCGGACCCTGACGGTCGTCGCTCTCTCTCCTCTCGTTCACTCTCGATCTCTCTCTCTCTCACTCTCTCTCTCTCTCCCTCTCTCTCCCTCCTCGCGCTCTACCGGGTCTTCTCTCTCCGCTGCTGGCTCGCGCTCCCCCGCCTGCTTCTCTCTCGCTCGCTCTCGCTCTCTCTCTCTCTCTCTCTCTCTTCAACCGACCTGCTCGCTCTCTCACGAGCCGCAGAGGCTCTGCCGCACCGGAGAGAAAGTTTCCGCGGGGTCCTAAAGTCTACAGTCACAACCTTGCGCGCGCACACACATACATACGCACGGACACAAACACTCACTCAAACACAAAAGACAGGTGTAGCATTAGAAGACATGGACGAATTAAGGGCCTACCGAGCACAGGCCCAGGGTCCCGAGAGGTCAGAGGGCCGCTGGACCAGAGCCTCTGTATGAAGTCACTTCAAATTTCTTATCTGAAAGTCACAAAGATGTTAAAAGTTGTTAAAAAAAACACAAAACGCCCACAAAGAGACGCAAAATGACAACAAAGAGACATGAAATGACCACAAAGTGATGCTAAACAACTGTAAAGAGATGAAAAATGACAACAAAGGTATGAAAAATTACCACAAAATGATGGAAATTTACCATAAAGAAACCCAAAGTGACTAAGAGGAGTTAAAGATATAAACTTAGACTCAAGATCCCTAATTACTGACCGAGCAAGTAGCCCCAGACCCTCAGGAGCGCCTGAGGGTTTCAAGTTTACTGTGTGGTGTTTGTCATAACATAAAAGTGTATCCAACACTAAAGGTACAATGTAAACTAGAAGGACAGGGGCCTTAAGGTGATGGCTGCATTAAAAAATGTCCACAAGAGAAGAAACAAATCCCCAATATAATCAATGCACACTGTGTTTAAGTACAAGAGTCAAAAACCCTTCATTATAGATTAAAAAATGTAAAAAACAAGACCATCAGTTGTGGTCATTGGTTTATTATTTGTGCATCAGGAGCACCTGTTTTGTGTAGTAAGTAATAATTTGTATCTTTTTTATGATCAGTTTTGAGGCCAATATTTGTGCTCTTTGTCTTGTCCATACATGGTGCATAATCTGAAATATATATGATCTTATTACTACTAATACAGAATTCACAGATGCTCATTTTTGGGTTCATCTGGCCCTGATCAGGATGCCTCCAAGATCTTAACATTTTAAGGTTTACATTCTCCATAATAATGCAGAAATATACTATTTTCCGAACTAGTTACTGAGTGGCATTTTAGAGCTTTGATTATCAAGGAGGCGACTACTCTGGAAAAAGAAAAAGCCCAAGGTTCACTGTTGAAGTTGGTGACATCTACAGGGGCCTATTTTGATGAGGGTTTTGTATTAAAATCAAAATTTAAATTAAATCTAAACTGATCGTGTCAACTGATACGTAAAACAAATCAGAAATGAGTTTTGTTTGAGGTCATTTAGAAGTAGACAACGAAGTCCAAGTTTGGTTTTCAACTGCAAAATGTCCTGCTCAGTACACATCAGGGTTACAGTTCTTTAAATAAAAACCAATCAAGAAGGTTTGTTTTATGTTATGCCTTTATGTGCGGAAATTACTATCTAGATAGATTTGTAAACTCTCAAATACCAACACTGGTGTTGGGCTCAAAACTTGATAAATTATTTTGACTTTAATCAAAGTACCACACAGTGAACCTGGGGCCGTGTAATATTGCAGTGTAGGTCTCCTGTACACAATGCAGACAGCGAGAGGGGAACAGGATTATTGGGGTCCCAGCTGCTCATTTCTGGCCCTGGTTAATGTCTGGCTATACATACATAATAATTGGAAAGGGTAAGATGAGATTCTTGTAACAATATACAGTATGTTTGATGTGGGCATTTTACTGCCTGAAGGCAAAAATGTCACATCTGTTTTTCAAAAGTGTCTCAGGGTGAAGTCTAGGCTTAAAATACACCTTTAAATCAACTAATTAAATAATCCATTTCAGCATTAATACTATTTTTTTTAAAACAACTTTCAACTCACTTTAGTTTTGCTAGTTGCACACATGTGGTATTACTGTAGAGCACTGTTTTACCTCTGACCTTTTAAATTGAAGCACGTCCCAACTTGCAAATGTCTAAATCTGTCTGATGTTTACTATCCTGGGGTCACAGATCCCCAGGTTGGACACCACTCTGTTGAATTAGTGTTATTCAGGACTAAAATGTTTTACAAACAGCTACTGTTGATGCAGGAGATGTTTTCAGTCATGGTTGATCTAGGTTAGGTGATCTAGGCCTCCACCTTCATTACTTTTTATAAGTTTTCTTGTTTGGCAGGTTAGCTTCTTCTAGTCTGACTCCTTTCTCCCCAGGTTTTTCAACAGGTGAAGCTGATGCCTCTCGCAACAAGTTGGAACCTGCAGCAGACATGGTATTCTACGAAACACGAGAAAGAAAAACAGTAAATTTAGTGAGAGCAGACCAGACAGACAGAGGGCAAGTGGTAACAAAAAGAGTAGTTTTCAAAACAATATTTCAGGATTCACAAATGTATAAGAAGATGAATGAGGGGTATTTTCCTTTATCTCATATTACAGCATAGTTTACAGTATGTGGGGTTTATCTGTTTACCAACATATGGGGAAAGAAAAATGGATGAGATTAGTATTAGTAGGCAGAATTTCATCTGGGGGGGAGGGGATTTTTCAGAATCACCCCCCCACACACACACACACCCACACACACACACACACTCTTACAGTTTCAGTTTATCCAATCATCAAAATCTCTTTAAACACTGTCCTTTTAGTGTCCAGCAGTCCACAAATCCACATCAAAATGTTAATATCACCTTCAGTGTTAGCATAACCTCGACACAATTACACTTTACAAACATTATACAGTGATTTAGGGGCCTTTGATTTTTCCTCTCAGGTAACATACAGGCTGTCCTGTCCTCTTGGTGAAGGTTGCTGAAGCTATTTACAGCCTGTGAGGACACCTGCAGTCACAACTCAGGGCTGAATAAAGTTGAATAAATTTGCCACTATCCAGGATTTCCAGAAGTTTCAATTGAAAGTAAATTAGTCAAAAACAATTTCTATAACTGATTTATCGTTTCAGATTTGCAGGTTTTCTTTGTCATATATGATAATAATTTAAATATCTTTGGGTTTTGAATTGTTGGACAGAAATATTAAGCAAATTAAGGAGGTCACTTTGGGCTCTGCAAAGTTGTGATGGTTGTTTTTCTCCATTTTATTTGACAAATAATAGAGTAAACGATTAATTGATTACTTGAGTAATCAGCAGATTAATCGATAATGAAAATAATTATTGTTGTAGCCCTATACTGTATACTAGGATATTATTATCATTATTATGGAAAATATTATTATTTGTCATCTGCAGGATGGTATGAAGTATATAGTATGTAATGAAATAGAAATACCATTTACGTATATTTTTTTTGTATTTGGCTGAGGAGCCTTTAACAACATTACGCTCCCACCCCCCACTTCTGAAAATAAACCTACAGCCAAGCTGTGAAGTCATTGTTATTACAGCTGAAACTAATAATTACTTTCATCATCATCACCAATTTATTAATCATTTATTAAACAAAATTTCATAAAGCAGTGAAAAAAGTTCAAATTGTTTCTTTGTCCAAAAATATCCAGTTTACAAAGATATAAAGCAAAGAAAAGCAGCAAATCCCTTTTTCATCAATCAATGACTTAAAATATTATTAAAATCATCATTTGAGTAAATTCTAACTTCAACTGTCAGAACAAATGGACTTTAATTGGACCATGACTGGTTGATTTTTACCAGTTTGCCTCTAAAGGACGAGGTTAAACTCAGTTTGACCTCCTAGAAGAAAAAGAGTGAACTGATCTTTACTACGTAGGGTCATAACTGCACTGAGGTGTGTGTGTGTGTGTGTGTGAGTATAGGAGAAGGTGGTGGTTGGGGGTGTTTATAGCAGTCAGTGAGGTCACCAACACACAGACAACCTCAAAGAGCTTTATTCAGTGTATAGTTTACACCCCCACGTTGCAGACAACACACACAGAGTCATGACCTCTGTAGGAAGCTCATGGGAAAAGTGAGAACTGCTCATCCATACTAATGAGGACACTAAATCAGGCAGAAAGTTAAAAAGTCTTAACATGAAGGGGAAAAATTGGTGTAATTTTAGTGTAGGCCATGTCCATGCTGGGTGGGAGGGTGGGGGGTATTTATAGAAACTGGGTTAGGAGCAAAAAGACTGGCTCACAGGAAATGTAACAAAAAAAAGTCTCTCCCCAGATTTTTGTGATGGTTTTTGATACTAGCTTGCTGCCATTATTGTACTACCTTTGTATCCCTAACATTCCTAAAATGGTTGAATTTTGTAGGCTAGTAGGTTAGTGGCCTAAAAATAGGAGGCACGTTGTAAATGTGAAGCTGTTTTTCATTACTACCCCAAGAAGATGGATGGTGGAAGAAGAATTCAGACGTTTTACGAAAGAAAAAGTAGAAAAACCACAGTGTAAAAATACTCTGTTAGAGGTAAAAGTCCTTTTTTTACTTTATAATTACTCATTTGGCAGGTGCTTTTATCCAAAGTGACTTACAAGTGAGGGACACTACAGCTTCAGTGCAGTAGGAGACCTTGGTGTAAGTGCTAAGTAGCTACTAAATCTGGTCAATAAGGCGAAGTGCCAGAAGATCAGGTAAAGAAGTGCACACAAAGTGCATAGTAAGTGCTTGTTAGGGTGTTCGAGGTGTTAGGAGAGGAGGTCCTCTCTAAGGAGATATTCTTCAAAAGACTCTTGAAGATAGAGAGGGACTCCCCTGCTCTGATAGCAGTCGGTAGCTTGTTCTACCATCAAAGAAACCACAAACAAGAACAGGCTGCGACTGCCTTGTGTGCAAGGACGGCAATTCCTTGGAGGAACACAGCAGCTGAGAGGGAGGATAAGGCTGTATGACTGAGTTCAAGTAAATGGGTGCAGACCCAGAAGTCACTTTGAAGGCAAGGAATAGTGACTCGAGAGTTTGATTTGGGCAACCGTGAGCAGCCAGTGGAGGTCAACGAGCGGCAGAGTGACATGTGCCTTTTTGGACACATGTCATTTTGCATTCAAAATCTTACTTAAGTCAAAATACCATCAGAAAAATGCACCAATATGCAGAGTGGAGCCTGTCCTCACTTTTTTTTTTTCCTTACTATTGATTTGTTACCACTGCATTAAAGGACAGGAAGTAATTTAACGTTGTTGTTGTTGGTAAAGGTAGAGGTAATTCTAACTACTTACTAAGCTGTTAGGTAGTTCAAAGCCGAACTATATCTTTTAAAAGAAGAAATAAAACAATCCTCCTATTCGAAATGAAAAGTTAAATATCACTGCATAGTTCAACAATTTTGGAAGAAGTAAAATCAAAATTTGCAATGTACAGAGTTGCTTCACATGGAAAGTACAAGTTCAAAAAAAGGAAAAATCTAAGGCACTATGATCCCTGAGCATACTGAAAAACAGGACACATTTCAACCCCCTATTTACCATTTATAAGCAGTGTATATACTTTTAATAAATGATTCTTAACACACAATGTAGTTATATGCAGATATGTGCCTATTAATGTATTTTTCAACAACAGTTATTCTCTGGAGGTCACCCTTAAGTGGAATCGCAAATCCTGTACATTACTTAACACTTTGAAGTGCCCACATGTCTGCATACGACTTCATTATAGCATGTTGTAAATCATTTATTAAACACAACAGAAGACTGATCTGACTGATGAATCTGTTTACAGTGCAGCCAAACAAACTCAAGTTGTAAGTATGCATAGGTAGGGGCAATTTGAATCTAGGGCAGGAATGATGGTGTCTGCCACTAACAATGAAATGAAATGAAATGAAATATAAATACCTTGAATGGCTCCTGCAGAAAACAACCACTGATGTGACAACAGTGTCAAAAATGGAGTTTGATTTCATGAAAATCTCAAGGATTTTAAGTAAACGTACTTTGCTTCATTTCACCACTGTTTGTGTCATGGCCTCATCACCACGTATTGCATATGTCATTCCTTGCACCGCTTGTTTATTTTTGCAGTTCTCAGTTGTGTTAGAGTTGTTGCGATATCATGGGATTTAGAGAAGCCGTACGCCAGATGAGGGAAGTCAAGGAATTTTACAAATGGGTCACTTTCCAGGAATACAGCAGTGTGGTTTCCAGCTTGTTTCGCAGATTTATCACATTAGATATTTTAGTTTTACCAAACTGTAGCGCAGCAGAGACTGTTGAACAAACCGGGAGGGAATAAAATATTGAGCTCATGGAAGAGCTATGACATAGTGGTGGAAAGGCATGGAGAAATTATTGAATTATACATTACATACCCTTGTTTTTATGTTGCTTCATCATCAGGTCATAACTTTTTGTGTCCTGAGGATCAAGACCAACAGTCACAGAGACAGCAGACACTCCAGAGTTTGACGTTAAATATTATTTATTGCAGATGATCCACACTTTACACTCACACCGTCAGCTCCAGCACGTTCAGAGCTGAATGTGTTTACAGTTTCATGTCGGGACACATCTGTCCTGTCAGTCTTGATTTCTCTCGCGCTCTCTTTCACACATACACACCGAAACGTGAGCTCATTCATTTATTAAATCACTCATACAGCCAGTCAATCATCCAGCGGTCTGAAATTGTGATAATCCCAGCCACAAGCAGTGAGTCAAACAAAGTGGAGGGCTCATGAACAAAGAAGAAACAACAAACTCTCCAGCTGAAAACTGAAATGTACATGACAGCAAAGTACAGCTTCCTATGAGCACAAAACAAAAACCTGAAAAGCTTAAAAGTGTTGAAAAGATATTGTTGATAAAAAAAAAAGAAGCTCAGTGAGTCACTTTGGGTTGTGTTTGATTTGCATAAAGATACCAGTCTGAAGATTTTTGGGGTGGTGCGTGTAGTTCAACTTCCACAATCAAACGCATTTTACAGGAAGCTTGAAGGGCAGCAAAGAGTAGCAAAGTGTGAGAAGTTCATTTTGGGCAGGCAGTGTTTAGAAATCAAAAGTCCCATTCAGTTAGATTTTTTTTTTTTTTTTTTTTTAAATGTTTGTTGAATCACGAGAACGAAAAGAAAACCTAAGACAAGACTCTGTACATAAAAACATGAGAAAAAGTGAACTACAGTTCCCATGGGGCATTGCTTCAAGAAACCTCCAATCACAGATCTTAAGAATCTGTTTAATTCTGATTCTACCAGGATGAAGTTGATTCAACTTCAGCAAATAGATCACAGAGTTACTTATTAAAAGATCAGTTCACAGCCAAATTACACAACATACGTTTTCTGAACCGTTTTCATAGGGACTATTTGTTTGATAAAAAGCAACTCCAGTGAAAACTGTTGTTTGTGTGCTGCGTTCAGAGTAACAGGGACATTGTTTCTGTGAAGAGATGTTGCTGGTCAGCCATGTTTTCATGCCACAAACAAATATTATTCATCCCCACTGTACTAGAGTGGAGACATACATCTCTACCCCCTGACAAAAACACCTCACACTATCTGGGTGGTTTGGTATTTGGTGCTCTTTCTAATCCTTCGTATAGATGTTTTTTCTTAGAGGTTTTACTCTGTTTTGTTGCCGTTGTGTTTCTCTCTTTACTGTACTCAATAAGTCATTATCCTTAAGGAATTGTATTGGCATTGAAGCCTGAAGTTTTACAACCTCTCAAGAACTGAGATGACTTATTCCTAGCTATTTTCTTCTTATCTTATAATGAATTGTGAGCAATTCATCCAATTATTACATAATTTAAGGATTTCAAAATCTTGTACCCAATACTTTACAAGAAAATAATAGAATGAAATCAGAAAAGATCTACATGAATTTCTTTTTCTTCCTTATTCCCTCAATAGTCTCATGATTTATCTTGTGAAACACTGCACCAGAGGTTAAGAGAGAAAAAAAAGTGTAATTTTGTGTGAACTGAGCCTTTAAAAGAAACATTTTAAAATGGGAATAAAAATTAATGAAGCCCACTTCTCCACCCACTTTGCTACATCGACCTTGTTCAAGCAAATGGTTTTATATTCACTCTCTCTCCATCTCACACACGCGCACACACGCGCATACACACACGCGCACACACACGCGCACACACACACGCAGAGTAATCAGATATCTCCTCTTTAACTGTAGTCCCACTGCAGTACCGGGAATCGACAGAGAGGCATGGACAACCTGAGCTGCTATCATACCAGCATCCGTGGCACTAATCTCTTCCAGGTTTAAGACACCTGGACCGGGACCAAGACTTCAACTCTCCACCCTGCATCGCCTCAGCCAGACAGGGGGCCTGGCTGGGCTTGATGCAGCAGGAAACGTCCCATTAAAGCTTATAGTCTCAGCAGGGCCTGACCACACTCACATACACAGAAACACTCAAACCAAATGAATAAATGGCAAAAATCAAATCAAAGCAATAAATACTAAGCACACAGTGCTGAAACTTTAAACGTTACATCTCACTTCTCGTCTTTCTGACCTTCCTTTGTTTTTTCCCTCTATCTTTTCTCTCAACATACAGTTACATATCTCCACCCTGAAACTTTCTCGCTTTTTTTTTCCTTCACAAATTTCCTAAAACACACCTTTCTGTCTCTTCACGGTGTCTCTCTCACTTACTCGATCCTCTCGCAACTGGAAAACGCAGAGCACACACACATGCTACAGTACAAATCAGTAGGTTTCAGATTCCTCCTCTAGCTATGCACAATCAAATCAAAACACAAGTAAAACCACAGTGACAAGACACACACAGAATCACAGCTATACATCAGTAGGGACCCTGGGGGGGAAGGGGGGAGATGGGAGTCATTTGGTGTCCAGCATCGTGATTGGTTGATTGGCAGTGGAGCTCTAATCCCCATTGGCTAACGATGAATATAACAAGATACACTTTAATCCCTGTCAGTCTTCTTTGGCCGTGATGAAACATCACTCTGCCTGAGGAGAGAGTGACACATCAGTCAGACAATTAATCATAAGTTAATTTATTTTTATATTCTGTCATATGGGATTAAAGGAATAGTTCAACATATTAGTAATATGCTTGTTCGCTTTCTTGTCTAGAAGAGTGATACGGATATCATGTCTGTGTGGTAAATATGAAGCTGGAACCACCAGCTGGATGGCTTAGTTCACCACAAACACTGGAAGCAAGGGGAAACAGCTCTTCTGGCTTTCTCCAAATATAAAAAGATCACTGGCTGAGTGACAACTCAAGAAAAATACTCATATAACCTTCGTAAAACCAAATACTGTTTGGTTCATACTTTGGCTTTATGTACAGATTAATAGGTGACCTTTAGAGGTGCTTTGACGAAGCAAAGCTAGCCGTTTCCCCCTGTTTCCAGTCTTTATGCTAGGCTACGTTAACTGGCTACGACTTCATATTCATCATAGAGACATGAAAGTTCAGCAACACAATGAAAAAGTAAGTATTTAGAAAAATATAGAATAACTCTGAGAAAAAATCCATCTACCTCAGTTTTCAAAAAGGTAAACGCAGTCAGTTTTAAATTGATAATTACTACTTCGAAATTAGGTTTGTGTCTGATCTTGATGGTTATGACACAAAATATCCCCCTTATAATAAAAAAAAATAAAATAAATTAAGCTTTTCATTGTTTTTATTCAAGTAATTTTGTGATCCTAATTCAGAATTTCTCATTTCAGGAAACTCATCTAACTCCCGGCACAACTATCTCTGGTTGATGTTGCAACATATAGTCTCCGGCTTTTGAAGCTGACCAGGAGCGGGCTGTTGGGAGGCCTGTGCACACATGTTCAAACACATAAACGATGTTGCTTTGACTCGTTAAATACAGCCTTTTTGTTCTGAAGCCCAAATGTCTTTCTAAAATTTCTACACATTAACTGACCGATTAAATGATTAATAATAAAAAGTGGAGAAGCAGTTTGTTTGGGCCAAACTGTCATTGTGCTGCCACAGTGTCACAGAGCTGAAACATTAGTCTTTTGTTGTACTATACAAGAAACTGTGTTTTTATTATCATCATGAAACAAAAAAAAAAGGATTTACATGAGATAACTTACTGCTTTTCTTTCTCCTGCGATCATTTTAACCTGCTAAAGAGAGAAAGAGTTTTGTTAGCAGCAGAAGATGATGGAGTCTGAAGCTGTAACAAGTGCTACAGGTTTCTGCCAGAAACTGTAATAAGAACCAGACCAGTTCTTTGCATAGGAACATAAAACAAGACTGTACTTGGCAGGTGCTACACAAATTGACTAACTCCAGAGAAAAAACAACAAAAAAAAAAACACTATTATAGAAAGTCTAACAGAATATTTTCTTCAGATTATGAGACTTAACTGTGTTGGACATGCAGGTTGAACCCTGGCCTCCTGTCTGTCTGGCTGTTCGGGGGTCGCTGGGTTAATACTGCAGGTTAGTATTCTAATGAGAATTTAGTCTGAGCCCGGGGAGCAGACCAGGAAGTAGTTTCACCACTTCGTCTCTGCAGGCGGTCCCCTCGTAAAGAGGAGGGGCTCCATAAAGCGCAGCTAATGAGATGGCACGTTAATGAAGCTTGCTACAGTAACGACGAGAGCACCTGGAGAATAAGTGGAGCTGCATAGAGAGAGCGCACGTGGTCGGACACAGACATAGAAAGACATGCAGGAAAGGTAAAGCATTTAAAGTCTCTTGATGTTAGCCAGAGCGACTTTTATGTGCGAAAAACGATCTCTCCAAAAACATTAAAGAAACACAATAGGTTAGGTAAATTAAAAATTAGCTAACTAATATATTCCACCTATGACTGAGGTTTCTCTGCAGCCAATGCTGTACCACTACTGTTTGCTTATGATCAATATATGTTAATATTTTCTATCAAATGTTTATTAAACCTTAAAAGAAACCCACTTAGTAGGAATTTCATGTCTTTTAAACAGTGGTAGAAAACTGACTAAGTACATTTACAGTAGTATCCTACTTAACTAATATTAATATTGTACTTTCCACTTCACTAAATTTATCACACAACCACAGCAACTAGTTACTTTGAGTTTTCCATGCAAAACATATGATCATCTTATAAAATATGATGCATTATTATAGATAGATTAATCATAAATACGGGTGTTTTCAGGTTTGTGGCAAAGATATTCTGGGATTTATATGAGGTCCTGAAGATGATAACAAACGTGCACAAAATATCATCGTGGGCTCCATAATTTTGAGACTGGCCATACTTTTACTTTGGATACTTCAAGTACATACAGAGTATTTTTACATTGTGGCTTTGCTACTTTTACTTAAGTAATAGATCTGAATACTTCTTGCACCACTGTCTTTTAATAGTGCACCCCCTCTGTTCAAGATTTTAAAAAAAGCATCAGAGAGGGAGGGAGAGAGGGACAGAGAGAGAGAGAGAGAGAGAGAGAGAGAGAGAGTTCAATCATGTCCTTGAGAAATGAGAGACGACATCAACTCAGCTGATGTCTGGATTAATTTTCCCAGGAGAAAAAAACTTGCTCTTGCTCTTTTAAAGTTTTTTATGGTAGGAAACTCAACATTTTAGGGTTGTTTAGAGTTAGTGTTAGCGAGGGGGAAAAGATTTGAATATGTTAACCTAATTTTCACTAACTTATACACTGAGCAATCAATCAACTATTATAGAACGGAGTTTTCAGACGTATTGGTGATGAAAATTATTGTTGTTTGCAGCCTTACATTTCTCCTATCATGTAGTAATATGACTTTGCCTCAGGTTTTATGAAGGTTAATTACTTGACAAACACAAAACATTAAACCAGTTTTATAAAAACACAAATTTACAACAAATGATCAGAGTACAAAGTGGTAATCCAGCCCCTGATGTGTAGACAGACTTATTAACTGAAAAAAAATCTGTCAAACCTTTCACGGTCCTGAGATCAAATTTCCGTGCTTTCATGTTTCATGAATAATAGTTGCACACGTCCATGCAAAACAGATTAAAGATTGACTTTAGTTATTAAAGACTCACCAGTTCTCACCACCTTTAATGTGAACATTTTCAGAAAAACCCTATAAAAGGAAGCATGGAGTCAGTGAAGTTTTTCCTGTTCATTTTTTAGTCACTTGTTATTTTCATTTATTCATCAAGTTATTTGATTGTTTGGTGTTTTCTGTGATAAAGGTTAAAAAATGTATAAACACACTCCTTATTAGCATCTGGCTACTGACGGATTAATTCAAGAATTTGGATCCTCAAGACTCAACGTCATGTTAGTGAAACCCCAGTGCAACAGTTGAGTTATAATGATCGTTAGTGTTTCTGCTTTATTACTGCTTTCGGTAGCAAGAAGTGTTAGGAAAGAAGGAATATTAATGCAGTGAGAAAAGGTAATGAGACACTTTTTTGAAGATATTAATGTACCTCTGTCCTTCCCGTTCAGCAATCTCTCCTCTTCCTCTCGACCATCATCTAGTCAGAAAGGAAAGTAAAGAGTCGACGTGAATGTGTGTCGGACCAAAATGCCATTATTTTCTAAAAAGCATTTTTCGGTTTTATAATTAAAACATAGAAAAATGAACTTTCTTGTGCTTCTTCACCATTTTCACACCCAAAACCGACACATAGCAACACAGATATTTCTCTCATCGTTTGCAAAAGGAGATCGTTTTGCTACAAAAAATACTCAAAGAACATGTGTAAGTCACCAAGAGAGTGTGTGTTTTCTGTGTGTTGTGTTTGTATATGTACCAGAGTGCAGCTCTTTGACCAGCGAGGACACGGTGTTGGTGATGGAGTCGGCTGCTACCAGGAGGTCGTTCCTCAAGTTCCTTCTTGGGCCTGAAGTGAAGAGGAGAGAAAAAAGAAAACAATGATCATTATTAGTGTTATTAGTGTAGTAGTGTAGAGCACATATATATATATATATATATATATACATATATTAGAGCAGAGTTCATTAATACACATATTGCACAGCTTAAAACAGCCTTTCACCACCTTCCAAGCTTTTACTTTGAAATTGAATTAGACTTGACTTAATATTCAACACCAGTGCTTTGACAATGAGCAGAATGTGCGCTCTTGTTAAACAAAATGTTTTATTATGACAGAGCATTTTCTTAACAAATGGGCCACTTCTTGATCCTTGCTCTGGTGGAGTGGTTTATATTACAGTCGGAAGGTTTTTACGGTGAACTGTTAATAAGTGGAACTAATCCAAAACACCGGCTGGCTGGAAACTACTGTACATTTGTGTTTGTTGCTGAGCAGAGATTCAATAAATACATGTGGTAAACACAGCTGGGGCTACCAAACAACAATTGTTTTACACATGAGCATTAATGTTACCAGTATTTCTTAAATGTATTGCATTACACAAAGAGATGGTTTCAGTTATTTAGCCTAACCTCAATGATATAAATGGGACGGACTAAATAATAGAGACGTCTCTGAAAGGCGAGTCGAATCAACACCTCTCTGAACTGAACATTATAACCTTCATAAGGGGAGGATTTATTTCAAGACTGTTGTATTTGCCTGTATTAGTTGCAGCTACATGTGCATAATAAAATGGCAACTAAGTGTGTGGCTGGGTTTCAGTGATACCTTTAGAAAAGTTGTTATACAGAGCATATTTCCAACTCATGTGATGTCCCACGTCTTGTTCATATATATAAAAGCTCAAAGTCTTAACAAGGAAATTGTTGAGCCAATCAGAAATGTAGAGGAACCCCTTGTAAACGGCATGTTTGGCCAGGACTTAAATCCTTTCAGAAATATGTTTCCTGTGTCTCAAAGTGGTGAAAAAGTAAGATTGTAGATGAAAATTAATCACGCAAAAGAATTTAGTCATTGTTCTTCGTGCTGGGCTGACTGTGGTCCCAGGTCTGAGTTAAAATGGCAGAATACAACACCACCCAATTTCCACTGAAGGACACACAGGTTTAAAAAGTCCTACCTTGAGCAAATGCCTCTTGTACGTCACCACCCACCCCTGCGAGGGAGTCCTGAGGAGGGTACATGTGAGCCTGTGGAGACACAGCACCTGCAGAGCGCATGGTTGATGGACTCGGTCGAGAAGGAGAGGAGTGAGAAGAGCCAGCTGCCTGCGCCTAAGAGACGGGGTTTAAGAGGGTTGTTACACATCATTGTCATCTATGTCATTTATGATTTATATATATTTGTTTTTTCACTATAACAGCTGACATCTCCACAGTGCAGAAAAGGTTATGATTACTTCTTCAAAAAGGTATTAATAATCCAAAATATCAAGGTCCCAACTAGAAAAAAAAAGAAAAATAAAGCACTGTCCTCATTGTTTGAAAAGCTAAAAAGGGCTAAATCCCACAGTTACACCACTGTGAGTCCAGCATAAACTTACTGCCTGCCGCTGCTCCTCATCCTACAGGGCCACAACATGGACAGTTGGAAACAAAGAGGGGGGAAAAGGATGGAAAAGAAGAGGTCAGACACAGTCAGAGCTAGAAGCAGAGATAAAATTATAAAGGAGGAACTCAAGAGAGGAAAGTGAAGCTTGTTATTACTGGAACAGAAAAGAGGAGTAGAAAAAGGGGGAACTTTGCCCTCTACTGGTAACAATACACCACGCTGAAAACAAAAGTCAGCAGCCCCTTTTACACAGCTTGATCAAAGTGGAAATATTGCGCCTTTATTCCACCTCGCTGTTCTGTATAAAAAGCTACAAACACAGAATGTGGGGGACGATGTTGGCCCGGCAGTGAGCTGACAGAGGAGGTAGTCACACAGCCAGATTGACGTCTGTGTAAAAGGCAGGGCCGGCGTTGCGCCAACATCACGCCTCTGACACCTGAATGTGGGCATGCTATGTAAAAAACCCACACTGGGCACAGTATTATGTTAGCTTTGTTTGGTTCAGGTCTTCCTTACAGCGATATAGCAGGATCTCTGTTTGAAAGGGGGCTAGTGTTTGTGTGAGTCACCTTGAGCAGCTTCATCAGTCCCTCCAGCTGTACCATCAGTTCCCTCCTGCTCTCTTGCAGAGACGACATCCTCTGTTCCAGCTCATCTTTCCTCTGCCTGCAACACACACACACACACAGAGCTTATCTTCCAATACTGTAACATTAGGGGAAGGTAGAAGCTGTAGTAAGACTAAAATAACAAAGACATGCAGAAACACAGAAGAGCTCTGACATTTCACATCTCACACCATGAATCTTCAGAGCCAGTTTAATACAGAATAATTTGTGTTTAGTCACATATACAGGACACATCTCTACGGCGGCTGGTCTCCACGTCTGATTAGGCAAATGAGTGAATGAAACAAAACTCCTCTCTCTCTCTCTCTCCCTCATTCATGAATACAGACACTTGTCAAGTCGCCTGCTTAGCGAAATAAGAGACTGAATTTTTAAACACAGGCTCATCCCCGAAAGACTCTCAGTAGATGGAACGGCAGAAACCTCGGCGAGAGCTTTGCCAGAGGAAAATGAAATCACAGAGCGATTAGATGTAGTTACGGTTTGCTGGAGACTAAAGGACAAGGGAACATTAGGTTAGAAATCCATGACATTCTCCCGAGTGAGTGTTTGTGTCTGGGGCAGATCATAAAACCTTAAAGACCTTGAGATCTTGAAAATGTAATTAGGACTGATACATACAAAACTGTCAACTTCCTCCACCTCACACTTTATACTGCTAAAATGCTCTATACCACTGAGACTTTCAAATACCCAAAATACACCCAAATGATAAAGTTTCACCATTTATAATAACTTGGCAACGGAAACCAGATTTAAGAGTCAGCATCTGTGGCTAACATCATTCCAGAGTAACAAACATACAGAGGTGTTTACAATCTTTTTTTCCCCAAACAGTGTGCGATCTGGACGGGACTTAAAAGCAGGAGCATAACTCTTCTCTTTCCTGCTTGGCTTTCCTTCACATGGTAGGATAGAGGAGTAAATAAACAACTAAAACAAGAGCCTGAGTCACACATTAAATCCAGATTTGAGTCATTATGTCACTAAAGTGAAGCTTCAACAGAGGAAGTTGAGATGATCTTCTGCATCTTTGCTGGAAAAAAAAAACTCAGATTTGACAGACACATATAGTAGATGTATCTGAGCCAGTAACAGGTTCAAGGTGGAAACTTCATATTCATATTATGTGGGATGGAAGGAAGTGATGATCATGATTATCACCGTCAATTGAGGGTTTAATGTCGATGTAACACCGTGTTTAGCAGCTCGTGTAAAGGGAACATTTTACTTCTCATTCTGAACGTCTCAGTAGCATTAAGAACCGTCCAGAAAAATACTTTGAAATGAGTTACTGTTGAGTAGAGTGTCAGGAACTTTAATTCACCTCACTGGAAACTCTTTAAGTCTCACTGTGCATTTCACCCCCATGCGGTCTGCAAGTGTGCAAGGTGGACATTTGGACTCAGCCAGATAGTGTGTAGTTACCTTAAATTACAGCTATTAGCTAATGTGTCTCATTAAGCTTGTTTCAGTTTTCACTACACCTGCATATGATTTAGCCCCAAGTCAGAGAATATCAAAGCTTTCAGAAAAATGTAAGACTCTAGGGCCAAAACTTTTCATCTAAGTATATTTTAAATATTTCAATCACACAATTTGGTGCCCCAAAGTGGAAATATCCAAAAAGATACTGTGACAATTTTTTTTTTTTTTTTTTTTTTTTTTTACAAAAATGCTAAATAATAAAAATAACAAGTAAATAATAAGTTAATAATAATAATAACATATATAACAAAAAAATAATAATTTGAAAGATCACATAAAATCTATATATATATATATATATATATACATATATATAAAATTAGTTTTTACTAAAAAAAGCATAAACAAGTTGGGGGTGACTTTTAAATTAGCTTTTAACAAACTCTACCATCTGTCAATGCCATCTGCCATAAAGCACTCTCCCTCTGTGCTGCAAAGCAACACAGCAGATTTCCCGCCAAATCTGACGCTGTGGTACGCAATGCAGTAAATGCAGGCGTAGGGCCTGAGAAGCTTTGAACCCACTGAAAATGATGTTTGGGCATCATTTCAGTCTCTATGACTCACAAAGCTCAAGTTAAAACAAAAGAATCTTTATAAGTACGTATAACAAGTATTTCAAGTGTCGGTGTGACTCCTGGTCTTTGGTGGAGTCCGTTTACCTGAGCAGGCGAAGCTCAGCCAGCAGAGTTGGGTTGGTGCTGCCCTTCTCCGGGCTGGGCTGGCAGGCTGCATCATGCTCTGTACGCAGACGTTTGATCTCTGCCAAGATCTCTCTGGGAAATGAAAAACATACTGTTCAGCTGAGGCTGGGAGAGCGTAACATGACTGAACAGACCGTGAGAAGATATTTCTGCAGGCTTCTGCAGAGGAATATAAGAGTTGGATTTAGAGAATATAAATATGGCAAGCGGTTGCATTTAAATGACACAAACTTATGAATACACCCATTCTGGAGACATTCAGTACATAGAACGCACAAATATACACATAGGGCTCTTTTATTGTGAAGGGACAATCCTTTAAGCAAAGAGAACGAAAACATTACAACTTAGTGTGCTTAATAGTATTAAATAAACTAACATCTGACAAACAATACATTCATTATTAGGACACATCATTTGAAATTCTCAATAAGTGCAGGGCAGGGTCGCAAGTAATACATTTTCACAATCTGCCAATTATTTTCTCAATTAATTGATTATTCGTTTGGTCTAAAAAACAGAAGTAAAAGAAAAAACGTCAAACGCGATTTTCCTGGAGCCCAAGGTGACATCAGAGCCAAAAACCCAAAGATATTCAGTCTACAGTGAAGTTAAGACGAGGAAAAACTGCAGCTTTACACATTTGAGGAGCTGTAATCATCAGATAATTAACATTTTCCTGTCAATTATCTGTCAAAATAACTTAAAAGATTAATTAATTATTAAAATGATGATGATTAATTTCTTGTCGCTCAAGTATTGGTTATTCTGTGCACGTTTGTTCTGTCTTGTTATCAGCGTGTCTGTCATTTGTAAAGCACTTTGAAATACAGTAGCCTGTATAAATGGGGCTCTACAAATAGAGTTGGATTAATGGATTGATAAGCTGCAGCTCTAGTGCAGGGGTGTAAAATTTAGAGGCTTTCAAAATGTTTACTTTGAAATGTTTACCTTTAATCATTGTGTCAAATAGTGGTAGTGGGTCTAGTGATAGGGTTTTTTAAAGAGTTGTCACAAAAATTAGATAAATTGGACGGGGACACCGATGTCACGTCCTGAAATCCAGATACAGTAGCGCTTCAGATATACAGTCACAAACACAACTAAAAGTGACAGATTTAAAAGGTGCATGAGTCAAACTAAACAAGGGGATCTAATTAAAATGAACAAGTTATCTTCTGTTCACAGTTCTCACTTCTACCTGTTCTTGCACTCCAGCTGTGCAATGAGCTCCCTCTTCTGTTTGTTCACGTCAAAGTTGATGCTGCGGTTCGGTATCACCTGAAACACACACAAACACACACACACACACACACACACACACACACACACACACACACACACACACACACACACACCCACACACACACACACACACACTCACTCAACTAAGTCACTGTTGCTCAATGGTTTTGCACTGACTGTGGAATGATTATATATCATTTAATGAGTTCTATGCACATGTAACATACAGGAACCTGATTGTGTATCTTATATATTATTATAACATTATTGACTCACTCCCGTGCCGTCAGTCTCTGCCAGGCGGGAGGTGTAGCGGGCGATCAGTTTGTGCTCCTCGTCTTGTCGGCTGGGACTGTCCATACTAGAGAGAGAGAGACAGAGAGAGAGAGAGAGAATCAGCAACTGACTATGACTAACACAGACTAATGATCACATTGATTGCCTATAGGAACAAAAAACGCAAAATTCAGCAAACTATTATGTAAAAGAGGACAGCACTTTGATATTATAAAGGCTTCTCCCTGATCTGTGGTGCATTCCAGTAGTGAGGTTTAACTGGAAACCAGTCCTCCCCAGTTGAGGGTTAGTGTGAGGAACTTTTAAAGCCAATCTCTCCAGTGAATATGGCGTCATGGTTACTGGCTCTGTGATGCCTTATAGATTAAGAGTCAGGTATGCTGTTGCCTTTTTGATTCCAGTGATGAACATCCAACCTGAGCATAAAGGATATCTCCATAATCCAATGTAGACAGGATGATGGATATAATTGTTTTCTGTTTTCAAAGGAGAAACTAGCCCTGTTTTAGTCTAAGAATCCAATTTGAATTTTTCATTTTTGAGCAGGATGTGCAACATGACAACATTTCCTTGGCTAAATTATCTTAAAATGTATGAACAAGAGTTCTCAGCAACAATAGCCATAAGGATTTAAGAATATATACGAGAAAATAAAAAGGGGAGGTCAAAAGAGCAGCTGATGATACATGTACAATATACATGTTAACCCATTATTTTGAACCCGCTTAGATTTTTCTTGACTTGTGAAACACCGTAGGCGCTGAGTGTTATTGAGCAACTGCATCCAGCACATTCTGGTTTCTCATCAAAAAACAATCATGCACACAGCCTGCAGCAGCAGAAAATGTCACGACTATGAAAGGGCCGACCCCACACAAAACCTTGCAGACAAAAAATACAACAACCAAAATCCCACACAGCAGTGGTACATGGATTGTTTCAAGAAGAGAATACACTTTCTTCTCTAGAGAATGTACCAGTTTTTAGCAGTAAATTCAGTTTAAATTCGGTACAATTACCTTCAAAAATCAGATCAACAGGGTTAAAACGTTCCCTCTCGAAATAGTTAGTTTGAAACTAGTTAGTTCATTCAGTAATTTGTAAGGTGCCATCAGTGGAAACTAGTTGGCAAGCAAGCAGAGAAACTGAAATAGTTACATAAACTGTTGAAACTGAAGTTGTGGCTGTGGGGGTACATCAGCTGCATGCAGCGAAGTGTTTGAGTGTAAGCTAAGAGAGTTTACTGATGAATGATTTTAGGTTTTGGGAAAAGAACTTTTTCATAGTCTAGAGATTAGTGAACTGGCATCTAACGACTAGAAACAGCACTGGCAAACTTCTGTGAGCAGACTAAGTTAAGCCAAGTGAAAGCCGGGCACAGAAGGGATGTTAAGGTGGTATTTTGGACGTACTGTAACTTCTACACATGACCAGTTGTTGAGGGTAAATGTTGCCTAGAACAGCAGCTTTTAACCTCTGGACAAATGAAGATTCAGTGGACTGCACAACCGAGAGCTGTGTTTATCCTTTTGCTGTTTTACATTTTGTTTTTTTTACTTGCTCTTCGCTCGTCATTATAATAAAGATTAATTAAACTCACAATGACTCAGTTTAGGTGTAACTGTGATGCACCTTGCTCTCCGCTTTACACCCTCCCTGATTCCCTTATGTAACCACCCCCCCTGCTGTGTCCCCGCTCTCCTCTCACCGCGGGCTGTTCTGGAGGCGATTCACATATGCAGCGATTAGAGCGTGCTCCTCGTTCATGCGCTGAGCTGCTGCCAAACTGGATGACAGGACAACAGACAGGAAATAAACAGTCAGGATAACAGACAGTGATTATGGTCCCATTTCACCAATATGCAGAAATCAGAACAACTTTATTTCACACTGACAGCCACACTTTCTTCATGGATGTGTGTGATTGTCAGTTCACGTCTGTTCTGCACATATATGCTGTAAATTCACATTTCTCAGATTATCATATCTTTTAATAAACTATATATCTAATATATTTTAATATACTTCATTCATTTTCATACAATTCCTCACACAGATAACATATTCTTTTTGCATGTCTCAGCACATTGTATTGCTGTTATTTTGCATATTCTGCACAATAACTTCTACCTCGTCTGCTTCACACAATTCAAAAGCTGAAACTCAGGAATGTTTGGAGTAAAACGCAGATTTATTTCCTGTCGATCAACTAATCGATTAATCTAAAACTAATGTTACTACAGGATATCTGCAGAGGTCGGGTTAATTTCAAGATGCTGTAAACCATTTTTAATATCAAATAAAACGCAATTTAATATGGTTACACAGGTCAACGTATGAAAAATCAATAAAACTCAGTCATTGATTAATTTGGCCTAGCAGCCTATAATTATTTACCTAGTGCAGGAATTTATGGAGAGTTATACCACATTATACAACATTTTGTTACCAGCTGTATATAACTAGAGACCTGTCAACATGTCAACATGTTGACCTTTCAACCAGTGGGTACTCAGTAGTCATGACTACATTACTACATGAGTACTCAGTATTCACCCTTTATTTTGATCTTAACTATACACCTGTAAAGCTTTGTGACTGTATCTTGCATTGATGTGACGCTACTGTGGTGAAACATCACATTAAATCTGAGGTCTGAAACAATAGTACTGGGGACTTTTACTAAAATCACACACTTACATAAGACACTCAAATTTAATTTTCATCCTTTTGCAATTGGTGTAAAGTGACAGAAGAGGAAACAGTAATTAACAAAGAACAAAGTAATGAAGCAAGTTTTTAAAAACCCAATTTATGAATCAATCTGAGAAAATTTCAAACTTCTGATCAGAGACACAAAACTGTTTTTTTTTCTCCTCTTTCTGTCAGTCTTTACCTCTTGGTGGCTTCCGGTGCTGATGAGGACACCAACATGGCCTCGCTGGTGTTCTCTACAGGTCGAGAGGGGCTGCAAACACACAAACACACAATCTATCAGACCCATATCATCAACAGCACAAACGTACAGCGAGCACAACAACGTTAAATCAGTGAAACACAAAGGCTTTCCTATCAGAAAACACACATTCTTACTCTCACACTCACACACTCTCATGTGCTTTTGAGTGCACTCATGCAATAGTGAATTGTACTAGTCTGAACAAACACAGACAGGCCAAAGATCACCAGAGGGAAAGAAAGAAAGAAAAAAAGAAAGAGAAAGAGAGTGAATACAGATCCACAGGGGAAATTTAAAAGAAAAAAAAAAAAAGACAGAAAAATGTAAGTTTGAAAGAAGAATAAATATGATACAGCATTGTTGTAAGCATACTCACATCTGTGCTAAGTGCAGCCTCTGTGTGCTGGCCTGAATATAAGTTTGGTCAGTGCTCGCAGGTTAGGAATGACCCAGTCTGCCAGTGTTTGGAAAATGAGACCGTGTGGGTCCAGCAGAGGGGCGGAGCGACCAAAGTAGCTGGCTGAAGAGGTGGGACTTTCAGTTTATCCATGTTATCTGAACTTTCTGTGCACATGTGACTCTACTGGTGATATCCATAAAGTCGGCCAAGAGTCTGCGACCTGATAGTAAATGTTTGATGGTGTGCAATTTTTCGTCTTCTGTAATCTAAACTAACCCGTTTTAGTGTTGACACAACAGCTACTACAAAGCCCTTGGACAAAACCCTTAAACACTATCAATGTACTGTTTCTATGTAGTGTATCTACTTCTAAGGCCGGACAATAGAGTCTCTTACAGTGCTATTGTATTGTGATGATATTATCACGTCAGGGTTTCTGCAGTGTTCACCATATTAATCTTTTCAAGACCTTTTTAATAACACAGAGATTTCAATTGAATACCTTTTTTCACAGTGATACAGGTTGAAGCTGATGGAAAACCAGTAGGGACAAAAAGGTCTACAATTATTTATCAAGTGCATTAACTGTATTATAATTAATTAAATAATGTGACTTGGAGATATGTGGCAGAAATTTGATGTTTTGATGTTAATTTAAGTTTTTGCAGTGAGCTTCCAATCTACTGTAGCTAGGGCGAGAAAGTTATAACTAATGTTTCCATCTACAGGAAGCGAGAAAAAACCTTCTCAGTCTCTCTTTCTTTGAGGGAACTACAGTTCAATGCTTCTGAAGATTTTTTGAGCTCCTGAGATCCCCCTGTACAACATGTAAAGTTCTGCAAACTGTAATTAATTAATTAATTAACTTTGAGATTCCAGTGATATTTACAATTCCACCAAATGCAAGACTGTTCAACTATTGTTCATAAACAAGATTCCTTTATCATCTTGCCTTACTGACATCGTCATTAGACAAAACCCCTAACCCTAAGGGACCAAGAGCAGCAAACTGTGACTGTTTCATAAATAGAGCAGATGTTAAGACAACTCTTGAAGTCAGTGAACTGATTTCATAACATCAGATTATCTGGCTCAAGTTAGCTAACATTAGCCAATAGTTGTATCTAACCAATTAAGACTCCAGCAGCAAAACCAGTATTGATTTGATAACGGGTGAGATTTTATTTCTTATAAATTTATCTTGTCACTTTCATAAGAAAAAATTGTTCTCAGTAAAGGAGTGACTTACTTTAACTCGGCCACTCCTAAGCAATCCTTGTGTCATTTATCTAACATGTACTGTATGTAGAGGATGTATGATTGTGATTGTGAGGTCTTACACTATGTTGCTGAGGTTAAGCGTCCTCTCGGGTTCCTCTGGATAAATTGGGTGGGGGGGCTCTCTTGACGAGACACAGCCCAGAGTCCTGCTCAGGGCTCGGCCAAGCTTAGTCGCCGGCGACTTCTGCAGAAACAAACACACACAAACAGACACACAGGTCGCGTTCATAGACTGTGTGACATTTACTGCAGCAATATTAACTGCAGGCCTGAACTTCGTGGATAAAACAGCCGCACTTTCCTGATAAAAATCTGTAAACTCCTATTCAAGTGTTATTATTGCGTTGTTTATCTCAGCTGCTCCAGACAAATCATAGCATCTGTTGCACACTCAGACATCCTGGAGGGGAATTCCTTTTTAACTTGGCAAACTCCAGGATACTCCCTTTTCTTTCTTGCTTTTTTTTTTAAGTAAAAATAAGTATTTTCTAGGTCTTTTTTGTGGACTTTAGTTTGGTGATGTCATCGTATAATCTTGGTAAAGGTAAAGTTTCTAGGTTAGGAAGGTTTCTTATGTCTCTCAAACATGCTATATTGTGCAGCTACAATACAATATATTTTCTTAGTGATTTTGACTGATTATAGATGAGTCTGGCCTAGTTACAGTACGTTTTCTGGACTGTTTCTTTAGTGAATATCAGTGAAGACATGCTTGTGATAAATTGCTGTGAAAAATACAGTATATGTAATATTTGAATTTTAACACAAGAGTTGATTTAGTGCTTAAAATGAATAAATTCATTACGGCACATTTCATCCGATCATCAAGTCAAAACTACTTAAAACCAAGAGAATACATTTTTTTTTGTAAATTTTAGCCCAGTTTCACTTTGTCAAAAAGACAGGAGAGGTGTAGATGTAACACTTTAAATTAGCGCTGTACAACACTGAGGGGAGGCAGGTAAACTGAGAATAAACTTCATCCCAAAACAGAGTACTGTCGGAAATGATATGCAAAGTCTGCAGAGGATTATTAGGGAGAGCTGCCTGTGATGAAGAGATTTTGTTGGACAGGCAGGAGCAGCACTAGTGAAGAGATTTATTCCTGAAACTGAAACATTAATAAGACAAATTATACAAAGGCTTAGTGATGAATAATTCAACAACTATGTTTCCGTCTATTAATATGTAATTTCTACATTGAAAACATTTTTCCCTTCAGGCTAGAGCAGCTTTTTTTGAAATATTATGGCGATTTTACAGAATTGTGTCATTTCCATTCAGATTTTTTGGATACAATTAGCAACAGTGGAATGAAACCAAGAACATTTTATCAGGGACTACTTAAGTATAAAACTGAGGTATTTGTACTTTACTTGACTATTTTCTTCTCATGCCACTTTATACTTTTACTCCACTACATTTCAAGAATACGTGACACTTTTTAGCAAAGTTAACCGACGAACATTTCACGTAATGACAGTACATACAGTTTTTTAAGTGCACACACTTTCAGCCACTGATTCCAGCATTAACACAGTTATATTTGCTTTAATTAATTTATCATTTTTTATAATTTTCCATGTTAAATCAAAATATTTTGCTGCTTTTTGTTTTGTTATTTTTTTGTTTCACAGCTGAAGCAGTTTGTTTCTCTTAGGGGAAAATTTGTAGTGTAAAGTTAATTGTTTGTTTGCCCCTCCCTTGTGTGTCTGTGTAGACTTTGTGTTTGTCTTTAAACAGGGTTAGGGTTAGTTTGTGTTAATTGGCAGGTCAATTTTGTGAAGTTCAGTCCTGAGTTGTTGTTTGTTTAGTTGACCTCAATGAATTAAATTAAATTAAAAAGGTCTCCATATTTTGCAAATTATCTTCTGTAGTTTTCCTTTTTTGGTATTTTGAATAATTTGGTACTTTGTTGAAATCAGTTCAAGTAAATAAACAAAAGCTCATGTTATGCCTCCATTATCTGTTTAAGTGCCACACTGTGAAGGTGTCCTCTCACAAAGATGGAGGCGCACACACACACACACACACACACACACACACACACACACACACACACACACACACACACACGTAGTGCCCCCTGGTGTGATGAACGAGTAATCACACAGCGACTCACCCAGGACGAGTGCTCCCTCATCTGATGCTGGTTGCTATGTGAGCCGCTGGTGTTGCCGCGCCAGAAGCAGTTCTGACACAGCTGGTAACCACGGCAACGGAGGCAGCGATAGCGGAAGCCCGTCATGCCGTTGCCACGACAGTAGGAGCATGACACAGGGTGATAGACTGGGAGAAAGACAGAATGTGTCAGTGATCAGACGAGTTTCACAAGTTGATAAAGAGGAGACACATCAGGCCTCTCTCACAGCAGACGGCCAGTGAGGTTTGAGGTTTTGTAGGCTGATGCATGATGGACACGAAACCTGAGCCTGAAACTGACTGAAACTTTTGAGGCCAATACTCAATCGAAAATAATAAAATTTGATACATTTGATACATACATCAGCTTATATTTATTCTTTAATGTGTCAAACTTATTTATTAAGCTTGTGATACAAATCTGAAACAGCGTATGACACAGTTGAACAGTAAACTTCATTATCAATGTTCATTTTGAACATTAAACCTTCAACAACTGACTTTGTCTTGCTACCTGGAAGCAGCAGAAATAAGCTGTGAACACAACACTGACATATCATCACCTTTTAAGTTGATACGGTGAACGCTGATCCTAAACTATGTTCTGAGAGCAGTGAGAATGAACCAAAACGGTTCATTTAAGGACCAGACGGATAAATAAATGAGCTGAGACTCACTATGAAGCTCGGCAAACGATGGAAATGAAAATGATATTTAAAAATAACTATGTATGTAAAAATCCCAGCCGATAAGGAAGTTTAACTAAATGTCAGCTTGTTAATAAGGTATATGTCTGTGTTGTGTGTGTGTGTGTGTGTGTGTGTGTGTGTACCATGCTCCACATTGGCCAGGCGGTGCATGAGAGGCAACCAGACAAGACACTGAGGAGGTTCAGCTACAATGTCCAGGAACATGTTGAGCATCACCCTCTTCTACACAACAACAACAAATAAAACAGACAAAACAGTTGAGAAACACAGACACAGACTGGTACAATCAAAACCCCAAAAACAGCACTGAACCAGTGGGATTACATTCTGTACAAACTATCCCCTGTGACAGACAGATAGATAGACGGAGCAGGTGTGTGACCATACCTGTTGTGGGAAGCATGAGCGTGCTAGCGTGTGTGTGTAGCCAAATGACGGCCCTTCATGTACAGCGGTGGGCAACTTGAGAGCCTCCCTCAGAAAACCGTCAAACTTGGACAGCACCAGTACACCGCTGGAGTCAGATACCTGAGAAAACACATCTACACACACACACACACACACACACACACACACACACACACACACAGACTGTGTGACTGATTTTTGTCCGCACAACATGATGGATACAAGAGCAGGTGAAGGAACATGAGCAAACAGCAGCATTAACGTATGTTTTCCACAAGGTGGCACATATGCAACATGTATATGTCTATGTATATGCTGAAATTCAACTTGTAGAGTTACAGTGCGGGTAAGATTTGTAGTAATATGTGTGTGGAAAAAAAACATTGTTGAATATACAGAAGAAGAGTTCAATTGGTGTGTTGCTAGAAAGCACATTTCCAATGGGGTTACAACAAGGCTAATTAAAATATCAGAGCTGAACATGTGGTTTTATTCACACATATCAAAGAGATTTTTATTTTGTGAAGAGGCACAGAGATCTTTTTCTCCACAGTCAGTAGCCTAAGGAAACCAACATGCAGTCTGGTCACTGAGATCTTTATTCATGCAGAATAGCAAAGTTCTCTAGCTTTACCTTGTCAGAAATTTTCTTTTTTTTCCCACGTATTTTGTTTGGTTGTGAAACAGTTCATACACTGCATTAAGTTTCTGGTTATTGATTGTTTAATTCAGTCGCTTTTGTAATGTGTTATGAACATGTAATGTGTCCAGTTGTAATTAATTTGTGAGGTGTGGAAGTAGAGATACTGAACACTGTGCAAAGGGACTGCAGGATGTGCATGCGCAGTCTGTGTGTTTACAAGCAAAGCACATGTGAAATCAACAAGTTTGTGCCAGTTGTCTGGGGACGGTTGAAAAGAAGCTCTGGTAAAAGTGAGAAAGTTGATGCGTAGCAGACTCCATGTCAGTCATGATGGTATCTGCTGGTACTCACAGCGGAGTTTATCTACCAGTTTCCCTCCACACAGCATGGCTAACATCGCCTTCACAGACAGCACCGTCAGTCTGCTGTCTGGTTCACTGGAAAACACACAAACACACATTTGATGGTAGTGTATTGTATGTCACCCTCATTTTTACATTAAACCCAGTGTGTGAAATACAGTTGGTCTCAGCGAGTCTTGGACCCCCTAATAACGACTAAGGATGCTGTTTTACAGGTGATCTCACTGGATGAACAGTGAATATTTGAGAACAGCTCCCCATTGTCAGAAAAGATCAGTTAACAGTTAAATCCCAGTGTTGCATCAGGAGATTTAAATAATTAATGAAGGTATCCCCGCTGTGCCAGCAGTGTGTGATATTACGGATGGAGAGGTGTGAGTGTGTGTCTGTGCATTAGAGTTGGGGAAACACAAGTGGAAATAATTTACTGAAAAACGTGTGTCACTGCGCTTTATTTAGTTCCTTTCTGTGCACCCCTACAGTTCTTCCCTGTCGTGCCCAGCAGCAGCTCAGAGCATATTTGATCAGAGCAGTGTTCAGTTCTTCAGTCTTATACAGTATTAACGCGTCAGTCTGGGTTTGGTCCAGAGGTGATTTAAAGATAGTAAGGGGAGGTAAGAGGTCAGTTCCAGTGCTGAGCTTTGCAGGTGCATGGTGGATTTTCAAAACTGGGAACATGAATGTTTTCCCATTTTGCAAATTTGTTATAAACATTTACATTACATTTATTTTTTTCTGTGCATGCAGGCCAAGAGGATCTCCTGAACACACTGATTGAACCACGTGCAGATGTGTGTTAGAAAACAACAGAATGCTGTGACTCTCTCTCTTGTAATTACCTGTCAATGGCAGCCAATATGAATTCAACTAACAGGACGGTGCTCTCTTGCGGGTTGATGGTGTGTGTGGTGGGCAGGCGCTTGCTGAGCTGGTTGAACAGGGAGGACACCAGGTTTTCCAGCCTGGTCACAGAGATCCCGGCATTCAGCTCGACGGCGTTCAGACCAGCGTCCCGCACCGCCTCGATCACGTTGTATATGTCGATCAGATGCACTTGAATGAGAGCGAGTGAAGTCAGTGAAAAGAGCAAGATACACACAAGTTCAAACAATCGTGTCATTAATTTAACAGCTGATGATGCCATGCTAAAAAGGACAGCAGTGGTCACTCACAGTTGCATCTCTTCTGTATAAATCTGAGCTTGCAGGCTGTTCGATATGTAGAAAGAATAATGGCATCAAAGTTCTGCTCCCCTGTGACAAAAAAAGAAGATGACGACATTTAGAAACTCTGCTGCATCAAGTAAAGGAAAAAACTCTTGACTCATGATAATCTCCTTTCATTTTCTCATACCATAACAACACCATACAAAAACATTTTCCAGTATAGAGAATAAAGTAATCCAGGAAACAGCATCTGTGAAAATGCCACCTGGTAACAGACAACGCTCTACATCTTCAAGCACAGAACACAGAGGCAAGGATCGCTGCAGGGTTGAAAAGGAAAAAATCCATCCTGCCATGCAGAGGCTATGTAAGGTTTACATTAAGGTTCAAAGGTCACTTACCAAGCTCCACGAAGATCTGCCTTCCCTCTGCTCCTGCTGTCGTTGGAGCCCCTCTCCCTCTGTCTATTTGACCCCCCTCCTCCATCACCATCCTGCATGAAACACAGCACAGCGTGTTTGGCATGTAAAGAACTGATGCAATAAACAGCCACCAGTCTTATGACCTGATCAGTTCGTAGCAATTTTTAAAATCTGTTCACTGTGACCTCGGGAAAGGTCAAACCTGCTGTACTATCAGACTGTAAGACTATTAGGTTTGTCCTGTGATCACCTATCACAGCCAAATTGTTATTTAAATTGTCACATACACAGTTAGGCACATACTGTATGCTTTTGTTAGTGTGCAATGGATGATTTGATTTCAGCTAAAACTATTATTCACAGAAAAATAATCAGAAACTATTTGGATAATCAATTAATCAAGTCATTTTTCAAGCAAAAGACAACATTTCCATTGTTCCACCTTGTAATTTGCGAGAATTACTATTTATCTTAGTTTTATGTGATAGTAAATTAAATATCTTTGGATTTTGGAGTGTTTACCGTACACAACAAGCAATCAATGATGGGAATTTTTCTCTATTTCTTGACAGAAAATCCTTACTTGATTTCTTTGCAAAGGACCATGCAATATATTAAATGAAAATGTTACCATCTGCTGTGTTGCTTTAAACAAATTCTTATCTGCAGTTCCTACCAGAGGCGTAGTTTCTCACATGTGCAGTATGTGATTGTATGTACACGGTTTGGTGTTGACTCTATAGATACTATAGAAGAAAGACATCAAAGATAAATAGTAAGCAACTTGTGAAATGTTCTTCATGTTTCTAGTGGATGTGATTTGTTCAAGAAGCAATTTAAAATTTAGATATTTGATAGGAGCCTCAAGGATGGAAAATACAAACCATGGCAACGTGTGACTTAACATTTATTTTTACACACGGGTCTACTGTATGCATACCGACACACCCACATGCACAAACTAGAGGTAGGGTCACAGAGAGTCAAATTCAGGGCCACTAGAGGATGAGCTGAGTGCTTGGTAAATAAACACATTAATGAGAGCAGCTGATGAAATCTGAACTGTGGCCTGGCATTTAGACAAGAGAGGGAGGGCGGACCGTGGAAGAAAAGAGAGAAAGAACCGAGAAAGAGAGAAAGAGAGCTAGCTGTCAACCACTGATGTCAGGTGACACAGAAAACACCAGAGGATATCGGTCGCTATGGTAACAGTTACACTACACCACAAAGCTGAAACACACACACAAATATTTGCATTCCTTGTATAAATGTAGGTGTCAAGGCAACCCCCAGCACGCGCGCGCGCGCACACACACACACACACATTCCAGAGAGGATTTGAAAGCTTCCCAGGAGACTTCATGCTTCATCCAGACAAAAGGACTACTCTTTTCAGTCACTTTCACACACTCTGAAACAAACACACACACACACACACACACACACACACACACACACTTGCATCGTTATACAGCTGCTTCATTGCCATTTCTCACTCTCACGCTCACTCTCTCACACACACACACACACACTAGAGGCTGCTGGTACCAGTTAGTCAAGTACAAGTGTAGGTCTCTAACTGCTTTGACAGGACAGCCATGCTGAGGCCACCGCTTCCTCGACGTGTCCCTCAGTAAGACACAACTATAGATGCTCACTAGAGGACGTCTCAAAATATCTCCACTGTAATTTCCACCTTCACCACTCATGCTGCAAAGACGCAGATGACAACTGATAAAAACTGGAATCTGGCAGATACATCAGGCACAAGTAACGATGCATTCAGATATTTAGATAAAGTGACAAGCTGCCTCTTGCCTCTCACTGACTTCTGTAACTTTCAGGCTTGTTTAGCACTGAGCAGATCTCTTACATAATGTATGCAGCTCTGATTGGGCAGCTGTCCTCTCACATTGCCACTACAAGGAAGACGGAGTAGGCCGCATTTTATCACTTACTGGTGCTGAACAAATTTATTTTCCCACTTGTTTTTATTTGTTTCAGAGCGGCTGTGGCTCAGGAGGTGGAGTATGTCGCCAACTAATCACAGGGTTGGTGGTTTGATCCCCAGGTCCTCGTGTCTGCAAGTCCACATGTCTAAATTGCTCCTGATGGCCTGGTCAGCACCCTGCATGGTAGCTCGCAGCCACTGGTGTGTGTGTGTGTGTAAATGAGAGGCAAATTGTTATGTGATTTTAAACCTTCAAATTATTTTCTCATTTAATTGATTAAGCATTTAGGAAAAATGCCCACAACAATTCACTGAAGCCTACAGCGATGTCATTAAATAGTTTGTCGTTTGTGGATGTAGAGGAGTCAGTGAAATGTTTAATTGACGCTCATTATAAAGAGCTGTTCAGACTGGATGTGACATGAGCCAGAAAAAGACATATGACTGCTTCCACTTGCTCATCAGTTACAACTCTGGTCTCCCATGGTGAGTAAATTGTTATTTCCAGCCTGGCCTTGGTGATAACTACACCCTGTCTGTCTGTCTGTGGCAGTCTGTCCGCATATAGCTGACATGGAGGAACATTTGGTGAGTGAGGTTTGCTTCTTATTTTAACTCAGAAAGCTTTAAGCTATCGTAGATATAATTACCCTTCCCACAATTACCCACCACCCCACCACCCCACCCGACTGTGTCAGAGGGCCAGGAACAGCTTGGCTGCAGTATTCCCAATCACTGGGTCAGAGTACAAAGGTTGGTCACAGGAAATTTGAAAGTGACAATGGGTAAATAGACACACATTTTGTTAAGGCTGCAACTAACAATTAATCTGCTAACTGTTTCCTGTTAGACCATCATTTAAGTAAAATGCTCTTTATAATTTACTGCATCCCAAGGTGACATCAAGTGTCTTGCTCTGACCAACTATCAGTTTATATTCAATTCAAAGATACTCAATTTATCATCATATATGACAAAGTAAAGCATAAAATCTTCACATTTAAGAAGTTGGATCCAGTATGTTTGTCAGTAGTTGCTTGAAAAATGACAAAAATAATTATTGGATTCAGTCTGGACCGACCAACATCAAATTGTACTTGCTTTACTACCACACTGCTTTCAAGTTGATTGCTGTCTTGGAAGTAAAACGCACAATGGATTTCATGCTGAGGTGATAATTACATAAAGAGCTTTGTCACAAAATAAACTCTATTCCTGAATCATGAGCCGGTCTGAATGTTTCCACTGGAAATAAAACCCCCACTCACTCAATGGAAACTGTAAAATGAATGCGACTGGTAACTGACAGTGGACATACTTTGTGCTCTGTTGGTTCAAGTCTTTTCTGTAGAGACTCAGCTAATGAAAGTGAAGCACACGAGAGAGAAAAAGAAAGAGACAGAGGAGGGAGCAGAGGTGGAGAGAGGTATATTACAGCTGACTGCGTGCATATTGCTTTTCTGCGTTTGTGTGCGTGGCGATGCACATTGCTGTTGCACCATGGTGTTTTATTGTGGCCGACATTTGCTGAGCTTTACGGAAACAAACATACAAACAACACATGCTGCTCTGAAAACACACACTCTGAACCTAAAGCTACACTCTCAGTCTCCCACCAACTTCTGGCTTAAGATACAGTAGAGTTTAGAAAACAACTGAAGGCTCAACTGTGCTAAAGGTACAGGGTTTGACACTACTGCATCTAAACTGGGTGTGTATTTGCGTGTTTGTGTGTGTGTGTGTGGTCATACCTCTCTGTGTCAGGGGGTCACACAGGACAGAGGAGCCTCAACAAAGGATGTCTAGCAGAGGGACACAGAAAAAAGAGAAAGGAAGTTTGAAAAGTCTTTTCAGCTTGCAGACAATAACGTCAAAGGCTCTTTGGAGACAGCAGAGGACACACTCTAATACAGACAGACACAACCAGTGAGAGACACACTCCTACATCTCTGTAAGCTAGTTTGACTGCTGCACGTTACCTGATATTTTCTGATTGTAGCTCAACTTTAAAACTGCTGGATTTATTGTAATTTTCAATTTTTATCAGTTATATTTTAATAATTCTTCAATTATGACTTAATGGATTCACGGTTTCACTTTCAGTAATGGCAGTTTGCTCCTTTTGCTGGTATTATTTTATATAAGCTTTCAGAAATATATGAGAAAACTAGATTGAGTGTATAGCACAAAGTACTCACTCTTGTTATGCTGCAGTAGCTATTTATATCGAGTAGCTGCTTTGTGGATCATTTAAGATTATTAACTTTAAAGTAAATCAATACAATCATGTTTTTATGATTCTTGACAAACAGTGTATTTGACAAACCTGCAGAAAAGTCATGGCCATTTGTAGATAATGACACCCATTCTTTTATTCACCGTTTAGCTGACAAATATTAGAAAAGACAGCCAGTGCTGAACAGCTGCCAAGTGCCAAGTTAATTCTCCTCAAACAAGACATAACAAATATAATGAGTTTACACACTGACATGTCATTAGGCTCTGTTCAACAAACTCTCATGACGGCAGAGTCAGAAATCTTCCTACAGCAAAAGATATAAGTCTAACTCAAACCTCATGGATACTAGAATCACAAAACGTGGGATATTTCCGCATGTGCATTAAATGTCTGCACATTAGGGGAGCTGAATTCATGCAGAAAGTTTCAACAAATGTACCTGAAGGCACAGAAAATCCTAAGATTATTTAGTTAGATGTGAACACAGGCCAGCCTGAATATGGAGACAGTTACATCCTGTCAGCAGGTGTCACAAACAAGACAGACAACACACAGACAGACAGAGGTGGAGGGAAAAGTACCACAGTGTATAAATTGTACAAACTGTACAAAAGTGTCACCATTAAAATATACTTAAAGTACCAAAACTAAAGGTGCTAATTATACTTAATGACCCATTTCAGAGCTGTAGGTGATAATGGAAGATAGTGAAAAGTGTTGTTCACTCTCTTCCATTATCACCTACTTGTTGACATGTAAGTTATAAGAATATGATGTTCTATTCTGCATCCGGTTACCAACCTCAAATGCCACACATGATCTTAATCACGACACTGAAAACTGTCAATCTGTGCCTATATTTTAAGCTGGCAAATGCATTTATCTACCAACTGCTGAGGCTAGAAACACGTTTACATTCCCCAAGCTACACACATATACAATCATGCATGACTGCATTAGGCAAATATTATGATGTTCCGTCTCATCAACATTTTTCTCTCCCCCTAAACTACAGAATGTTGTGAGTGTGTGTGATACGTGAGTGAAGGAGGGTGTCACATCAGTGCGGACCACCCAACCAGTGCACCTGTGCATAAACAGCCACACACACATGCCCACGCCCCCACACACACACACACACTCTCTCTCTCTCTATAGGATCATCAGGACAGTGGTTACACTCATACAGTCCCAACACCTGAGTGAGGCAAATGATTCTGAAAGTAAACACACACTAACATCACCCTTCCTCCTTCTCTCTCACACACACACACAGACATACACACACACACACCTGTTCATAAGAATTAGTTGCTCTCAGTCTAAAACATGCAATAGAGGCTTTGATTTGCAACCAAAAATTTTAAAAAAGATGACAGATACTGGCCTCACCGCTGTGCTCTGTGGATGAATCCACAAACTAAATGTTCATGAGTGGGAGAGAAGAAGAAGAAGAAGACACTGATACAGGGACGGGGCGTCAGGCAGGCGAGGGGGTACTAAAGAGGGGTAAGAGGGTGTTTACCACCCTCTGCACACCACAGCACGCATCATTCATGCCACATGACCACATTACCACTTGCAGCTGCTCTGTATTCTCACAGTCTGCCCTGACAGGACCTGACCAGTGTGTGTGTGTGTGTGTTATAAATTATATATATATATACAGTAGACAACTTTACTGTAACACACGAAGCAGGTGAGGCTCGTTGGCTGGAACCACATCCTGTGGGATGCAACCAAAATATTCAATTTCAAAATGTGTAGGTTAGGGCTGAATAACTAATCGAAATATTATCGAAAATCACAATATGGCCAAGTTCAATATCGAAATAGCTGGAGCTGTAATTTTAAAAAATGTGTTAAATGTGATAACGTACCATTAATGATGACAATAAGCATCATCAAACTATAATCTCCAGGATGTACAAGCCCCAACAAAAATCACATCATTTTTTCGGTGAAAATAAAATGCAAATTACATTCCAAATATAATCATGCCTCATATCACAACCGTAATATATGCTAAAATACTAACAATATGATTTCTTTGAATATCATTCAGCCCAAGTGTGGGTTATTTCTTCAATAAACTGACAGGCTGTTGTCAGAGAATAGTGAACAACCAATGAATTTTCTGTCAAATGACTAATCAATAAATGGAACTAATTGTTTCAGCACAATTTTTTTTTTGCGCCTTGACTATAATACAGATGGTAGAAATATATTTTTGAATTTGTTAGCATTAAAGATGTCAGGTTTAAAGACAGCAAAATGAAATAGACAGATATACCAAACTAAAACTCCTCTGCCTTTGACACCTATGCTGAATGAGCCCTGTAAAAAAAAACAAAAAAAAAACAACCTCACCGGCACTAAAAACATTAAATCTAGTTCAACACTTTCTTAGAGCCTCTTTACCACAGACAAACACCTGCAACTGTACCGACTCCAATCAGGTTGTACTGAAAGCAAAAATCTCTCCCTGCCTTTCCAATCTCTCTGTCTCCTGACCTCAGATCCCTGTGCTGCCATAGAGACAACCCGGCTGACCCGGCATGACCCCAGGGCTGTCACTAGGCAGGTAAAAACAGAAGCAACTCATATCCGGTTACACATTTAAGATGGACAGCTAGCATGCCAGCCAGGGGCGTTTGGAGGACTGGTCCAGAAGTTATAGCGTGTTCTGAGGCGGCGATAGGGCGGAGCCTGTTATAGAGGTTTTAACAATAACACACAGAACCAAGCCTGAACTGACAGACCAAGGACTGGCTCAGCTCTCTAAGGCAGACAAAGCACATGGTCATCAATACAGAGTTTTTGAGGCTGATACCAACGTTTAAGAATTTAACAAATTCAATAACAATATATGGGAAACTGTGGCCAAGATGCTGAGCCTGACTTTTTACAGTTACCTTCATCAGTGCTCTCAGGTGTGATGGTGACACTCTTTCCAAATTCCCTTAAACCTTTAAAATAAAAGTTCATGTGCCTTGTGGTGTTTTAATGGAGGGATGGTTATGGTAATGGGCGGATGAGGATGAACCCGGGCCAACGTTTGGTGCAACACAACACAATGTCATCCAGCAAGGCACTGCGGCCTGTTAACCAATCAAATATGTCTGCAAGCCCACATTCCTGGTAGTTTACACTGTAACATGAACACCATGTTTCTACTGTTTATTTTTACGACTGTCGTGAAAAAAGCCAAAAACTATTTCTGCGTTGAGAACTTTACAGAGATGTAAAATCCTGTCTCGTACTATTTTGAAACCATTTTGAAGTGATTTTGCATCTGATAAGCCTTTAAACTCATGGATCTGTTAGTTAAACCAGCATTTGGATCGTGTTTCATAGCCTTACTGATGCCTGAAGCAACATGCCCCCACCAACACAGTCCCATGCTTTGTTTTACAGTAACACAGTGCTTTTTGCTCTCTGAATGCAGTAGAAACTTATCAGAGACATATTAAGACTCATTATCAAACTCATCTCTATTTGCTTTTACATTTACACAAACGCTACACCTGTGACTGCAACCAAAGTAAAGTTTAGAGCTTAAACCCAGACTAATCTTTCTGGTGGTGAGGGCGGTAAGCTCAGAGAACTGTAAGGTGGTCATGCCGGTTGCAAAGAAAGAAAGGAGGAAATGCAAAGCGACAGTGCACTGCAGACACAAGACGGAGAGAAATACAGCAGGAATGAAAAGGTCTCGATACTGAGATACAAAGGGGAAAGAAAAGCAGAGAGAAATGAAGATGTACAAATCTAATCTAACTAAGAAGCCGGAAGGAAAGCGACAGGAAGAGAGTGAAAGAGAAAAACAAAGGAAGTGAAAGTTGTGTCTAGTGTCTTCAACCAACAAATGTAAATGTTTGATCATTTCACATTGAACCTGCAGTTTGAAATACCTGAATGTGCAACTTATTTACTAAGTATTTATGAAAGATTTGAGGAGGAAAGACCAAGATCCCCAAATTCAATTCAACCTTTCATCACAATAATCCTCTAAATCAGGGTCTCATCCGTAAACTTAAAACTATTAGCTGTAGTCTATTCCTTTGCCCTTGAGCAAGTCATTTTAAAACAGTCCTATTATTCTTGTGAAGCAGGGACCCAGCAGCAGATATCCTGGATTCCCAGCTATACAGCAGATCAATGAACAGGCTGACGGGCAAGCACAGTATCAGTGACCTTAGTGAACCATTGCAGGCTTTCACAACAAGCTGTTATACAAACTAAGCAATGACAAAAACTGGTGGTTCTTTGCTGAAAGCTAACTAGCCTTTCATTATATCATGTATTTTACTGCAATTCTGCAAGCTATATGAGAATTAACTCAGTAAATGAGTGGAGGGCTCTGAGGTCGCCAGTAGTGTTGGAGAGCCATGCAACTGCTCCCACATGCAATATGAGGAATACTTAAATTTCACTATAATTTAATTCTTGCAAAATTATATGAACTAGAGGCTGGATAGGAATGAGTGCTTCTAATCATAGGTTTCACCCTCACAGCTATTATCTCCCCACCCTCAGTGGAGACAGTAACACAATTCAGCACTACTGTATCAACAACCTCTAAAATCTTTCCATATGGAGACACTTAGATGAAATATTATGAAGTAAGTTGGGGCTGGTGAAGAAGCCGCCGCAGGTACCATATTCACATAGGTGAAACACTTAGCTACATTTAATACCTGGTTATCTCATGCGGGAGGGCGAGTGCCGGGAAAAGTGGCATAATTCTCGTCCCCCCTCTCATTTGGTGCTGGTAAAAATGTAAACAAATCGCCCACTGCTCAATTAAAGTATAGTTAGCAGGGACCTCTAATCAGTTACTGTGATCTCTGTCTCTCTCTATCTCTCTCCCTCTCTCCCTCTTTCTGTCATCCCACTCTTTTTTAGCTTCCTCCCCTGGGAGCAACAGTTTGGAAGAGTCTGCAACCTGCCTGGATACACAAATTAAAAAAATCCACCACAGTTTATACTTGCCCTGTTTGTTAATGAACATGACCATTATTTGAATATTTTAGCTTTACCTGCATGTGAATCAAAACAACTAAATAAAAAGCTGCTTGGTTGATGGTCTGTTTACTTTTAGACTGTTAAAATAATGGTTGCTAAAAGAGGAAACAGCTATTCTTTGAATTTTAATTGGGATAAAGAAATTAAAGAATTAAATAGCCCGTTTACACTGTTTTAGTATCTGCTCTTCATATATGCTTAAACACATTTTAGAGTGTGGGGTTGGGGAGCCCCAAAATGCTTTGCTTACCTCCAATATCTCCTTTTGGCAGGTTGTGGTGTGATTAATTAGATTGCTGATGATCAGTAAATAATATTATGATTCATTAAACCATTTCATTTCACCCAAGTGATCAGATTTAATGATTTATTAGCCCTAACATGCCATCTATATTCTAACATTCTTGCTACATCTGTTTCCATTCAGCCTGTTGCATTGTAATTGTACATACATGTACATGCCACTAAACCTGAATCAAAACCTTAATATATAGTGTGACGTATTACAAAATGGAGACAGGTGATTTAAAAATAAATAAATAAATAAATAAAGTATTAAGTTATGTTGCACAACGCTTGTACGTTGGGTGATACGCCAGGAAACGTAAAATTGCAATATTTTTTAATGGAGTTACGTTCCTCCCATAGAAGAAAACGCCAGTCAAACACCAATGGTAGTTTGGATTTGAAAAGTGGGCATGACTTATGACTCAAGACAGGGAGGGACGACAACACACTGGACATTTTTACGTGTAATATTTCGACGGTCTTCTCTGGACAGTTTGGGTTTCCATTAATTAAAAAAAAAAAAAAAAAAAGACTTGAGTCAAAGCCACTTTTAAAGCTCTGCCTCCTTCTGGGAAGCTGTGTGACATCTGAGCGGCCATATTGCAGAAAAGTTTCAACTGCCTGTTCACCTTGTTCCCCACGAATGAATGTGCACTTGAAATCTCAGCCTCAAACTCCGGTACAGTTTTGACATTAAAAGTCGCCAGTTGCAGTCACCGTAACTTGAATTTCCACTTTTATTTTAACGGTATATCTCGTAGTATGTGAGACGGGGTCTACTCACCGGGACTATTTTCGGCAGGTAGCCTGTTCGTGGCCAAATACCAACATCAACACTGAAACGTGTGGCACTGACTTGAGCTTGAGTTTCTTCTCTCTTGAAATATCCGTTTCCTCTTTTTTCACCGTGTTTCGTGGCCTCCTCTTTGGTTTAAATACTGTCCTCCCCCCGGGTCCCGTTATTTATTTCCGTAGCGAACCATGCTTCACGCCCTCCTCACCCGCCGCCGCCGTTGTACCGGTCGCTGCTGTGATGAAGTGAACTATTTTTGAAAGAAGTCACTCGTCTCCTCGGTCCGTCCCCCCGCCCCGCGCCTCCCGCCTCCCGCCCCCCGCGCGACAGTGAGCGGTGTAATGCCGCTGACTCAAACCCGACTCATTAGCCTACTCACTTCATTTTTTCAGTAATATAGTTCCAGCCTGGTTGTGCAGTGACTAACTTCGTCTAACATGCAACACAGTGTGTTTATTTCACACAGGAAGGATAATCGGTTATCTTCGGTTTCCAGTTGCTTTGAGCCATGGACGGATCCGGAGACACGGAGGCCCTGGGCAGAGAGGGCCCCCCCCCCCTTCCTTCATAGGAGCAGGACACCTAAACTGAAGAGTGGCAGTTTTTTCTGCCTTTGTTGTTGTTTTGACTCGTTTTGTTTCTATTTTGAGTCTCTTCATACCTGTTTTGCATGTCTTTGTAGTTTGTTTACTAACGCTTCGTAGTCATTTTGCATCTTTGTTATTGTTTTAAGTTTCTCTATAGTCATTTTGCATCTCTTCGTAGTTGTTCTGTGTCTCTTTGCGCATCTCCTCATATTTTGCTTACTCATTGTAGTCATTTTGCATATCTTTGTACTTGTTTTGTGTCTTTCTTGTAGTTGTTTTGCATCTCTTTCTACTTGTTTTGGCTCTTTTTGTAGTCATTTGATTGACATCCCAACAAGAAATGTTAATCTGTTAATGGCCTCAGTAGATAATTTTTAGCTTTAACCATCACAATTTTCAACAGTGAACATCTCTGTTAAACATCAGAATAAGTACAACTATAAAGTGGTTAAAACTGGAAAAAAAAAAAAAAAAACATTTTTATTTATTCATTTTTATCTCACAGGAAGATAATTTGATATTTCCACTGCTGTTTAAGTTTGAAAATACCAAAGTACATTCAACTTTCATAAGAGCAACTCCAAAAGCAACTAAATACAATTCAAGTACAGATTTGAAGTATTTATACTGTGCTTATGTAACTTGCGTAAATACACTCGGTTGCATTACCCTACTGCTGATTATTTTGTCTTTTTGTAGCTTGATGTTATTCCTGTAATGTAAGTAAAGGTTACTTTTAGTTCTCACTAAGATAATGTGTCAAGTCAATTTAATCCATACAGTGACAAATCATAACAGAAGTCATCTCAGGGCACTTTTCATATAGAACAGGTCTAGATCACTCTATTTATTTACAAAGACCCACCTAACCAACTCTCCATTCTCCAGAGGTTGTGAAATTCACCAGGCCTGTGTGATAAAACTACATGCACGCACCACAAACACTCCTGTACTTTGCTGCGTTTTAGGCAGCTTACCATTAAAATGAAACATTTACTGCATTATGCACAGAGTAGACTACCTAATTTGGACAATAATTGGTTAGTAGATTGAAATATAAAAGTGATTAATCAGGATTACACCGAGCACTCAGAAATGACTCAACGTCACCTTGGCTGAGAGCTTTTGTGTAAACACCTTAAATATTGGAAGTTATTATATGACTCAAAGCTTTTATGCTGATGAACATCTCTCTCTCAAATTAAATCGAAGGCAACTGGACTTGGACAACTATGACCTGGACGAATGAGAACATTCACAGATATGCTGATGAACAGTTTCTCAAACAGAACAGGTGACAGACCTGAATCTGTAATAGAAATGTAGAATTATTCAATATGTGATGAAAGAACTTGGAAAGTCTGACTATCTGAAAGAGGAAATTGTGGAGAAAAAAAAAGGCCACTCATTGAAATTATGTGCACATTGGTGGCAGGAGAGGAAACCAGAGCATGTGAATAAAACAGCTTCCCCTCAAATCTGTGTGTGCACAAATACTGTATGTTTAGTACTGAATTTCACATTTAGTTTTCATCACTTGCAATACATTTTTTTCATGCTGTATATCTTATATGTAACAATTACTGACACTAAAAAGGACACAAATGCAAGTTTTAAAGTCAGAGAGGCATCTTGCAATTTATAAATAATTGGAAACAGAATCATAATATGCAAATTACCCTCCTCCAACATTTCAGTCATACCAGTGTCTCTAAAACATTATTAGATATTAAAAAACGCTGCGCTGCAATCCGTGTTATTCACCTTTCTTAACAGTTGACAGCTTTTAGAGGTGTAAGTTATATACTCAATATATAACTTACACAACACAAACGTAGTGACAAATATTTGACGAACTGCCAATTGTGCAAACCAGTGTATCAGTCTAGTTACAGTACACAACAACAAAACATACAGCATGTAGCAACAAAAGACTGCAGACATGCATGTACTTCCCTTCCTAATGTAAATCTGGACTTTGAAAAAAAAGAAAAAAAAAGAAAAAGGGAAATCCCATTCAGGGTCATGTTTGTGCTGTAGGATCAATGCAATGCCCGACACAAGTGACGCAAATACTCACAGATAAAAACGCAGCCAACAGAAATCTGTGCAGGAGAAGAACACTGGTTTTAACACCACAGAGACCGGATCAGCAGAAGAAGATTTAATGTGGATTTCTTCAAGCAGTGCGAGGATGTGGCTGCTAGGTCTTCAGGTGGTCGCCATCTGTGTTTTTCTACAGGTAGGGAAAACGTACAGTATGATATAAATGTAAATCAGCATGGTACTGTGTTTATGGTGCAATTCTAAATTTTAAGTAAAGGGAAGTTTATTTAACATAAAAACAAATTTTTCAATGGAGAAAAAACAAGAGATGTATATTACTTTCTAAAAGTATAAAAAAAAATTTTTTTTTAATTTAGATTGTAAATCCGAAAAGGACAAAATTACATCAAAAAAGGAAAGAATAATGATAAATCTTTATTTATCGTGTTTCAGGAAAAGATTATCAGACTAAAAAATAACTTATATATTACTTGCTTTTGTTCAATGTACATATATAAATAAATGTACCTTGCAGAATAAGCTCAAAGTGACTCTATTAAAAGAGTCTTTTAAAATGAGCTGTAAATGAAATAACATAGTATTGATTTACCTCTTTAACAAGTCTCTCTTTAACAAGTGTATTACTATCAGAGCAAAGGGAAATTGGATTCTTCTTGTGCAAATTTTTTTTGTATTTCTAAAGTTTTTTAAACTAGAAACAATTACACTGAAGCGAACAAGATTTAAAATAAATAAATAAATAAATAAATCATAAAATGAAAATCTGAAATTGAACGTAAATATTAAGGGGTCCACTTACATTTTAAATTTTCCACCTGCAGGTGCCAGGATGTTTCCCATCATGCATCATAAGTGGCTCTGTAGCCAACTGTGCCTTCCAGAACCTCGTCTCGGTTCCTGCTCTCCCTTCTCACATCACCCACCTGTACCTGGAGATGAACCGCATCCGTGAGATTAACTCCATATCCCTGTCAGGCCTCGAGCAGCTGCAGGAGCTGGACCTAGGACAACAGCGTGTGCCACTTGTGATCAGAGACAACGCCTTCAGCAGACAAAGTCGGCTGAGGAAGCTGATTCTCGGCTTCAACATTGGCCTTCGACTGGAGCCACAAGCCTTCGTGGGGCTGTCCAGTTTGCAGCAGCTGCACCTTGACTACTGTTCACTTCAAGAGTCCATACTGACGGACAACTTTCTGCAGCCACTGTCCTCTTTAGAGACTCTTGACCTCTTTGGCAACCAGATAAAGAGACTCCAGCCTTCAATGTTCTTTGCAAATTTGACTAATTTGAGAGATCTGAATCTCAAGCTGAACAAAATTGACAAAATATGTGGATCAGATCTGGCTGGCTTCCAGGGAAAGCACTTCCAGGTCCTAAACTTGGACTCTGTTCACATTAAAGCCATGTCTGATAAAGGTTTTGACTGGCAGAAATGTGGGAATCCTTTCAGAGGAATATCCTTCCAGACACTCGACCTGTCCTACAACGGGTTCAGCGTGGGTAAAGCGAAGCAGTTTTTCAGAGCTATTGAGGGGACGAAGATCTCCCATCTCAAACTGTCAGGATTTATGGGTAAAGGATTTTCATTCAACAATTTCCCCGATCCAGACAACAGCACGTTTTGCGGCTTAAACAACAGTTCAGTCCACATTTTAGATCTGTCCAAAAACAGGATATTTTCACTGCGACAGGGGGTTTTCCGCCCGCTGAAAGAAGTCGTGAGCATTGATGTTTCCCAAAACAGAGTGAATCAGATACACAGAAATGCTTTTGAAGGTCTTCAGGGTCATTTAAAAATGCTCAACCTGTCACACAACCTGCTTGGGGAAATCTATTCTTACACCTTTGCTTCTCTGACAAACCTGCAAGTGTTAGACTTGTCTTACAATCACATTGGTGTGCTGGGTTTTGGCTCATTCAGTGGACTTCCCAACCTGAAAGCATTATATCTAACAGGGAACGCTCTGCGAGAATTAGGTTTCCCTGCTTCTTTACCAAGATTAAATTATCTCCTGCTGAATGACAATAAGTTGACATCGTCATCAGTGGGCGCCATCACTCAGTTTGCCAGTAATGTCATGCATCTGAACGTTAACGACAACAGATTTTTTAACTTTGCTGATCTTTACACCTTTTTGACTCGGCTGAAACGTCTTCAGCATCTCTTCTACGGAGGAAACACGATCAGGTGGTGCACACTCAGTAGACAAGTGATTGGTATGAATAATCTCCAAGTCTTGGATCTTCACAGCAGCTCCCTGCAGTCTATTTGGTCTCAGGGCAAATGTCTGAATCTGTTTGACAATCTTGGACATGTGGTCAGTCTCAACTTGAGCTTTAACGCACTGCAGACTCTTCCTCAAGGTATTTTCAAGGGTCTCACCTCTGTAGTTCAGATGGACCTCTCATCAAACGCCTTGACGTATCTCCAGCCTGATGTATTACCCAAAAGTCTGGAAGTACTCAACCTCTCCAACAACTTCATAGCCTCCCCAGACCCTGCCGCTTTTCACTCCCTCAGCCTCCTCGACCTGAAAATGAACCGATTCCACTGCGACACCAACCTGAAGAGTTTTCTGACTTGGCTGAACCAGACCAACGCAACCTTCTTGAGTCCTGTTCAGGAGCTCAGATGTGAATTTCCCTCTGGTTTCTATATGGTTCCTCTGTTAACCTACTCTGCTCAGGTCACACAGCAATAAAAAGCACCTCAAAGTCTGGAAAGTTTGTTTCATTTCAGACTTGCAGCGAGCAAATTATACAGAACTAATCAGTGTGGTTTGCTAACCAGTGTCCACAAGTATTAATCCAGTAGAATGGTGTCACATATTGATGATTTGAGTAGTGCAGTCATGTCTTATCCTCCGTTTGATCTGAATTTGTAGTAACTGTCAGAAATAAGAAATCTAAAAAGAAAAAAATCCCCTGAAACAGGTTGAAACTGTAATGTGTGTAGCACATAATCATATTTAGAATTTTGCTTTGTTTGTTATTTAATGGAGGTTCAAATACTCCTGCAAAAGGGGGCGTCCAATGAAATAAACATGCCACTTTTACAGTACTATAACATGACTAATGATATAATTAGTTTTTTGTTTTTTTCCCTTTCCTCATAATTGCTTTTTCTTGTATTAAAAAAAAGAATCAGAGTGTTTTCTGTGTCTCACTTATTTAACAGGCCTTAAAGGGATTCAGTTAGATTCAGTCAGGTAATATATTAGGCCTGACTGGTTATGCCCAAAGTATGATCTATGATAATTAGACATTATTGCACAACCTGCACATTGAAAGGCATTAGTTAACATTAACAGTTAACATTACAAGATGCATTGATGTTTGTGGGTTCACATGTCTGCAAAATACAAATGATTAAACTTGTGATCCCAGGTGTGTGTGTGTGTGTGTGTGTGTGTGTGTGTGTGTGTGTGTGTGTGTGTGTGTGTGTGTGTGTGTGTGTGTGTGTGTGTGTGTGTTCGTTCATTATATTACCAGCAGGTGGAGTTCCACAACAATCCACTGGCTTCTGGCTTTATAAAACTTGGAAACCAGTCCAGGATCCCAGTGCATGCTGGGAAATGATGCAGTGACCTTAAAGAAGCAGCAGGTACATATAGGATATAAATAAATGGATGGGCATACAATTGCAAGCAGATGTAAAAGTGAACACTGACGTCACCAAAGCACCTGCCACTAACCTGCTAACCTAAGATACATTTGATCAACTTTGTGTGGAGTGAGTTAATATTTAACTTTGTCAGTGGCAAGGAAAACGAGGATGAACTAATGGTACCAAATGTAAACAGACCGGTTGTTATCCGATTTTATATTAAATTTTAATTGTGCCTCATATCCACAACAAGCACAGAAATGCTGTACACAAGCAGAGGAAACAACAGTTGTAGAATGAGTGATCATTTGTATATTCAAAGCTAAGTCATAGTTTTCAATGAGTTTCTGTCCAATGTATGTTCAGTTGTGATCTATGCAAAAATACATTTAAAAAAAAAAGGAAACAGAGTTTTAGTAACTGATTGAAAGAAAATAATTTTCAGCTCAATAAAAGATACTTTTCTCTTTTTGCAGTCCCAGCAGAAAGGCTAAGATGAGCATTAAGCCCTTTCAGCAGGTACAGAAGCTGCTGGATGGGGCAGCTGTTTTCTCCTCCTCTACCAGCAGAGGGCAGCCTCAGCCCAGTTAGTAACCACCGACTGTTGGGCCTTCACCAGTGCTGCTTTTCAACAGTGCAGCTCACTCTTAAACAATACCAACCAACCAATCTTCCCCCGAGCTGGGATCAGTGTGCAGCAATGCACCATTTAGTTGCATAACAGTAAGAGAGAAACAGTGAAGCTGCTGGTTAAGATGGTCCGACCAGGAGTTCATAATAGTTATAGGAAAGGATTAAGGCTGAAGGGCGCTTAGATAAACTGGGTTGATAAGTGCTGAGGGGAGATAAATAGGGAAAGAGGTCAACAATAACAATGTTGAGTTCAGTGTCACTGCGGTGCTGTTGGCCAATAAAGGCAGGATTCAATGTTGTGGTTACATACGTTACATAGAAATTCAGCTTGTGAAGACTCTCAGAGCTCTGTCTCCGTGTTATTATCTAATGACAATGGGGGGGGGGATACCTCTGTTATCCCTGTAAGTCAACCACTGATAAGGCTCAGCTGGCATGAGTGAATTTATAAGGGTGTGTGTGTGCTGCAGCAGTAATACCAACACACGCATGTGTACACATTTCTACCTTACCAACTTTGAATGGTCACACTGGACCACTATGACCAACTAACCAATCAGAAAAGAGCTAATAATCAACCAATCAGAAGAGGGCTACAAATCAGCCAACTAATCAGAATACAGCCACAAACCAACTAACCAATCAGAAGAGAGCGACAAATCGACCAGTTATACAATTTGAGGAACTCAACACTTAATCCATTAACCTCTGGTTTAAAATTGTTAGATTTGTGGACCTAGAAGAAGACACAAACTGACGGCAGGCAGGAGCAGTGACGATGCGTTGATGAAGAAAACAGATTTACAGGCTGACGTGACAAGATGGCAGGCAGGAATCCAGGAAAACAGGCAACAGGAAAACACACACACACACACACACACACACACACACACACACACAAGGAACAGTAGGAAACACAAAACAGGAGCATGACAACACCAGGGAACACAACAGATGAACTGACAAGGACTGAGAGGAACACAGAGACTACATACACACAAGGGAAGCGGGTAACGAGACACAGGTGCAACTAATTGGGGCTAGGCAGGCAATCACAGAAGGCGGGAAACACATGGGGGCAGGAAGTAAAAACCAACAACAGACACCTAAGGAATATGGTTTCAAAATAAAACAGGAAATAATAGAAAGACACTCAGAAATCATGACAAAGATAGTGTATTTTGGAGCTGGAGCATTGTGCTGTACTGTTGCTGTGTTGTTTTGTGATATTGTATTTTATTTCTGCTGCATTTATTGCTGTTTGTTTTTTCTTAAAGCTGTGAGCTGGTCTGTGGTGTATTTCAATTTGATTGATCAATGTGATTTTGGATTGTAATCATAAATCAATTGCATCTTATTGTGGATCCCAGTTAAAATAGCTTCTGTTTTAATGAGGCTACTGAGCACTGATTATTATTGCTCTTAAGGTCAATCACACTAACACTCAACACACACAGACACACACTTCATCTATCGATTAGGGAGAATTAAACATGACTGATCGACCAGCAGGCGCCTGTGACAGTGTCTTTATTGGATTTTTGAAATTTTTTTCAGCCAGACATAAGCTCAGCCCGACTGGCCCACCGTGTTATATACATACATATAGAGACACCCACCCCCCACACATCCCCATCCCCGACACCCTTTACTAGCAGGTTACCATGGAAACAGGCTCCTCCACAGTCACTTCCTGATTGTCTTTGGATTCCTGCATCCATCTATCCATCCACCCCCCCCCCTTTCCATCAGCATCTCATCCCTCCTCCCCACCCCCACAGCCCTCACACACACACACACACACACACACACACACACACACACACACACACACACACACACACACACACACACACACACACATGTACAATATTTTATATATGAGANTTTTTACTGAATAATATGACAAAAACGTTACACATGAAAACATCTGTAAAATTTATACTATAAGTCACATACTGTATATACTGAGGCAGTGGAGGTGACACAGTACGAATAAACAATATACTGATTTAAACATTTAAAGGAGCTGTTTTCAGTATTGTAGACACCAATTTTTTTCTATATTTAGCTTTAATATCACTATTTTAATGTCTTTATTTGACCAATAGCACCCTGAAATGTGTCCTGATAGACCCTCTCATATTGAGAATATTTCCAAGCAAATTTACAATGTCTTCCTCCGTACAGACAATAATACACTGCAATAAATCTTTATCAAATTAAAGGTATAGTTGCATGTTTCTATTATACAGCACAAACTGGATATTCAAATTCTTACTTTTTTCCTAACTAGGCCAATTATGTACCCAGACACCGATGACTAAACACATAAAATCCTCAGAGCGCCAAGACTAAGGAGGAAGTAGGTTAACACAGACTTAAATTCATTCAAAACAGCATCAGATGTGAATTTATACCACAACAAGTGTTTGCTTTTGGTATTTCTAACCCTTCCCACTCATTTAGTTCATATTACTGAGAGATCATTTTGGTAATGTGAGCTATTCCTCAGAGTGAGCGCAGACAGAGCCTTTGCTGAAAAACAATCTTTAAAGTCAAAAATGTCAAACATGATCTGGCTCCAGCTTTCTTCTTCTTTGTATCAATGTAAACTGAAAATCTTTGGGTTGTGGACTGTTAAGTCAAACAAAACAATTTTTTAGACATCATCATAGTTTTCTGGGAAATGTTGACATTTGTTTTTGACATTTTCTAGATCAAATGAGTAATTTATTCATTATAAAACGGTGGTAGATTCAGCTGTAATGAAAACAACCATTTGTGGGCAAGTTGCAGTAAGTGAGAATAACTTAAAAATGATCCAGAACTTACAAATTAAATTAACTTTTGTGAATTTCCACAAGCACATTTCTGTCATATTATCAGATATTATCAATGATATGGTTTGATGTTTGGGTGATGACACATTTTGCACAGACAGGGGGATGATGTCATGTGTCAGATACAGTATAAAAACATTTGCAGTAAATATCTGTCGTACCTTTACACAGGTAAAGGACTGTTCTGTGCTCTTACGCCTAGCGAGGGGGGGGGGGGGGCGGCGGCAC